GTTGGTTATGTTGACGGAAGTTAGCCTATTTTCAGGCGCTGCATAATATCATTGTGCCTGCTGCACCCATGGTACGGCAGCAAAGTTCCTTGATTTTTACGCTGGAATGAGAGTATAGTTCCTAGTCATATCGGCCTAGAAAATCACAACTTTTAATTTTCCGTCGGTCTTAGTACACTATATAACTACAGAAGAGTCAAGTTTTAAATAGGAAAAATATCAAAACTCTTTGGTCATTTTTGAGCGAGATGCTAACGGTCTAATCAGATTCAATGATCTATGCTAAGCTACAGCTAAAAGTGCTACCGCCAGACCCGGAGATCAGCTGAATGGATTCGAAAACGGTAAAACTCAACTGTTTAAGTCTAGGGGAGTTGGAAAATGAGCCTATTTTCAAAAATAGTGGCGTGTTCCTTTAAGTAAAGTAGAGAATTAAGTTTATTTGTCACTGTGGCATTTCTGCACCTTTTGTATTTTATATGGAAAAGGGGTCACACTTTAGTTTGGGGACCAATTCTCAATATTAACTGACTACTAACTGCAACTTTTAATTTAAGTTAGGAATGTTAGTAAGGTAGTTGTATAGTTTAGGTAGGATTAAGGGATATCAAATATGCTCATGCAGAGCATATGTGCTTTATAAGTAATAAACAGGCAATATGCATGCATTCTAGTTAATAGTGAGAATTGGTCCTTTAAAATCAAGTATCATTGGGACATTGAGCACTAACATGATGTTTTCTCTAATCTAATAATTTATCCTGTAGTCATGAATATGTTAACTTACAATATTAATTTTAAGTGCATCATGAAGGACAGATTGATCTACTAGATTTGAATGATCGTTGACCTTTAGACATTATCTGATGGTTTAATAGACTGTTTGTTGAGGGCGCTTGTCTTTGCACGTCAGGAGTAATGTGTCCTATATTTGCCCCACAAAAAAAAATCATTAGCACTGTTCATTAGTTAATCAAAGCCAGTACACAATAAATCATAATCATTATAAGCTTCAAATCTGCAGTAAGACGCCCATTTACCATTGAATGAATGACGTTTAGAGTCAGACTGCAGCAATGAGAGACGAAAGAAAAAAGAAAAAAATAAGCTTTTGAAGGCGTTTGGTTAACAAGCACTTTTTAAATGTTAAAATCCTGTTAAATTTAAACGAAAAAAAAAAACTGGCAGCTGTGGTTGCAAGAAATTCACTGTAATATATATATCATTAAGTGATATAATGTTAATGTTCCAGCCTGCTTGAACTACTTCGATCTGCTTTGTAACGTTTTTACAGTACAGTGAAAAAAGCCCTCCGTACAGAAATACATTTTTTTCCCTTAATTAGATTTGGAAGTCTGGCCCTTTTTTTCTCTCTACTGTATAGATTTGACCGTGTCCTGAAATATCCGTCCATAACAGCGTGAGTCAGCAGTGACTCCAGGCCTAATCAATTGTCCTGCTTTTGAAAAGCTGTTTATGAAGCAGGCTCCAGCGGACTACATGATGCATGAACTGTGCTGGTGGGCGTTTTGGGGCTCTGGCAACGGGAATGTGTTTTAATGTAATTCCCAGACACTGGAGAAGCATCGCGTGTTGTAAACTCGACATGCCAGGCCGCAGAAACACGTTGAAGTTTCTCATTATCGTCCCTTCCACGCCCTCAACATACCCTGGTTTTCCTGGTGTTCTGGTAAAATGAAAGAATGGAGTGTGGTTGAGAGGATGAAATCAGCTGCCATGTGGCGGAACCGCAGCTGGGGAAAATGGAGAGTTTCAGCAGAGCCGATCGGATGAGGTGAACAGGGGGCGGGTTTGGCTGTGCTATTCCTGTGTAGCTGGAGTCAGGAGGGAAAAGGGCCGAGTGAGATAATGCAGGACACCGCCGCAGCCCGATTGATCCGCTCAAACACCGTTGTGACCTCGCAATCGAGTTGCATTAGAGTACAGTGGAATGTAGGCCAGGGGAAAGGGGCCGTGAATTGAAATGTTACTGCTAAAGACCGAAAAGACTTGAGCAAATAAATCATGATAACATTTAATCACATTATTCGTGTCAACTTACTTGAATGCTTCATGAGCTCTGTGAGCTCTAACTGCAGCCAATCTACGACTAGCACATTTTGAAAAGATGTATCCATTCATAAGATGATTTGTAATGTTTTCAAAATATGTTTATTATGCTAAGCAAGGCTGCATTTATTTGATCAGTAAATAAAAGTAAATAATAGTACAGTAAAACAGGAGTGTTGTGAATTATTAGTACAATTGAATAGAACTCTTTCCTATTTGTATATGATTTAAAATGTAATGTATTCCTAATTTTGTGCTCAAATAATTTATTATTATCAATGTTGAAAACAGTAGTACTGCTTAAAAATTTTTTTCAATTGAAAATGCCATAGAACAGCTTTTATTATTTGTTTATAATAATAATAATAATAATAATAATAATAATAATAATAACAATAATAATAACAACAACAATAAAATAGTTTGAAACTTTTGAATGCTACTTTTAATATACCTTTGATGTTTTTTTAATAGAAAACATGTATGTATGTATGTATATATATATATATATATATATATATTGTAATAATGTAACAGTCTTTACTTCCACTTTTGATCAGTTGAATGGATCATTGCAGGATGAATGAATGAACGAACGAACGAACGAACGAACGAAAGAACGAACGAACAAACAAATTACGAACCTTTGTTTTTTTTTTGTTTTTGTTTTTTTTTGTATCCATAGAACAGCATAAATAGATTTGTTTGTAACAATGCAGCAGTCTTTACTGTCACTTTTGATCAGTTGAATACATCCTTGCAGAATAAATAAATAAATAAATATATATATATATGATCCCAAACATTTGAGCGCTAATTTTACTAGTAACTTTTATATGGTAAAATCATTATGTTTTTAATTATCTTATAAAATTATGGCACCAGCAATATGACAACCAATATGTAAATAATAATAATTCAGCCAAGTAACGTTGCTCTTTATCGTTTTAATTTACAGATGTCAAGCAATGTTTCAACTAGTTTACTTGCATTTTACAATGATTTTGAATTTGAATGCATTCCGATTTGGAATTATCAGTTAGCATTTTATTGAGCTTTACCTCTCACTGGTGGTTTTACCGAGTCACAAACTGAATTGCATGTTGTTGAGCAACGCACACTATAAAATGACATATCTGGGGAGGCAACACCTGTCATCAGTCAAAACTTGCTGCTGTGTTGCCTTTCTAATGGTCACAAGGAATGACTACAGATTTGAAAAAAAAAAAAAAAAAAACAGCGATAAATCGTGGTTCAACAACCCAAGATTTGATTTCCACTGAATGGACTTTTTAAAGTCATTTGAATCCATTTTGCTGTCAGTGTCTTTGAGAACATCTCAGCATGTCAAACTCAGGGGGAAATGCTGTGGATAAAACGCACAGTGACTGCGTTCCGACTGAATAATTACAGGAGAAGCTTCTCAGCAGACAGATTATTTTCCTCTTCATTTGAAAACATGAATGAGAAAAAAAAATGCAGAGCCAAGATGTTGACTTTATAATTTCACTTACCTGAATAAATCAATCGTACAGACTGATTTCCCATGGATTTCTACTTAATGTGGCCAAAGTTATACACATTGCTAGAGGAAATATAGATTAAAGAGCAGTCTTTCTCTCAGGTTATGAATCTTTGCAATAAAAAATTGTATTGTAAACAAGACACATTTTAAAACCATTTACAGTCTGATGCAGCAAGAAAATAAAAAAAAATGATGCACCAAGAAGTAAAGTTGACTTGTAGTGTAAGATGTTTTGCTTTGCACAAATGGGATTTGGTGAGGGTTTGTTTTTCTAAATACACCTTCTGGGTAGATGGATAGATGTAATTTTCAGTCATAGCACATACTTGATTATTTTTCTTGTACTTATTTTCTGGTGCATCCGTGCTGCATTTTGCATATGAGATTAATTTCTAAATATAGGGATACATCTAAGGTCAAGGCTTGTGATTGGCTAAATGTGTTTTATTTGTGTTTGACATTAGCGTGATGAGGGAAATGCCCTTTACATGCTGCTCTGAGCTCAGGACTAGATTTCACTCTCTGAGCAGACATTTGACGCTCTTCACATTAGCAGAACACGGCACATGCATTGATTTTTTATTTTTTTATTTTTTTATTTTTTCCACTGACTGTATCTCTCTTGTTGCCTGGCCTTTCTCACCCTTCCATAAAATGGAGAGAAATACTTTTGTCAGTACTTTATATTTGATATTTTTGCTGTGTAACTATTTATTTACTTACTTACTTTCTTACTTACTTTGTGGCATTATTTTCCAGATTTTTTAATAGACATTTTCATCCAAATCCTCATTAGTGCAACAAGCTAATGTAAAGACTATTTCTTTGTATTTTTTTTGGTCTAAACTCTCTCTCTCTGTCTTCCAGGGTTCAGCCGGGCAGCCATGCCGTTTGGTCTGGTGAGGCGGGAGCTGTCTTGCGAGGGTTACCCCATCGACCTCCGCTGTCCAGGAAGTGATGTCATCATGATCGAGAGTGCCAATTACGGCCGGACAGACGACAAGATCTGCGATGCTGACCCCTTTCAAATGGAGAACATCAACTGTTATCTGCCCGATGCATTCAAGATCATGTCTCAAAGGCAGGTTCTTCCGTGCCAAGATCTGTCCTCCTTTTCTGAAACTCTCTCTTCAAAACGTGTCTTCTCTCTCATTTGCCCGTCTTTGATTACACAGTGCATGAATACGAGCATCTTCAGCGGCATACATGAAGAATACTTCCCTCCACAATCTCAACAACCAAACCCAACAGATCTCAATGCGCTCACATCCGATCTTCTTTTGAGTTCAGACAGTGTGGTACATCTGGAGGCTTGTGCTAAGAACAGGAAGTGATGTGTGAGCCGGGCTTTGATATGTACTGCTGCGGGAGTGGCGTACAGTTCCGCTCGGCTTATTATAAGAATGTCGTGATTCGTGGGGAAATAGGTTTGAAAATGTGGCGTCTCAATTAGTCCTTTCAGCTGCAGGCAATTAGGCGTCTCAAGTGGGTGCTAATCTGCACAGGAACCCGCCTCTGCAGGTCTGCAGAAGTCCAGATGTGAAATTGCGTTGTTGTGCACTTTTCATCTTGTTAGTTTTCTGGTCAAATAATGAATCACCAGTGGCTTCACAATCTTTCATTGCTACAGTTGCATTAATAATATATTACTATACTTAATAATAGAAGCTTTCACTCAATGCTACTTAATTTCTTTGCAAAAAGAAACTTTCATTTTTTTAAATTATTGATTTATATGGGCTTATATCAAATTAATTAATATAAACACCTCATTCTGTGTGCCGTGGGTTTGTGTCGTAGTCTATTAACTTGTTTAATAATGTGGAATTATATGAGGGATCGAGCAACCAGAGGCACTTTCTGCTTTTTGTGTGTGTGTGTGTGTTGGCCTTCTCTTGGTCGTAAATATTAGACAACTTAGATATTGTTGAGAGCTGGGTTCAGAGAGAAACCAGTTAAAGGTGGGGTAAGCGATTTCTGGTAGCCAGTGTTGACATTTGAAATCACCAAAACAAACACGCCCCTACCCCAAAAGGGTCTCGCCCCTATTTTGATAGCTCCGCCCCACATATACGTACGCAACCCAGGCAACGATTAGTTCTGTGAAACAAAGCAAAACCAATGTTATACCGTGTCTACACCGGACGCGAGTGGCGCTGCGCGACAAGATACTATAGAACTCATTATAATCAGTGATGCTGTCTACACCATAGATATATATATATATATATATACATATCTATGTTCTACCCTGGTTGCGGCGCGACACGACACGACAAATCCCAGACAAAAACTGCTGCTGCATTCTATTAATGACGTATTGACACAAATTTCAAATGATTTTCAACGGTCGCTTTGTCGCGTCCAGTGTACTAGACAGACTTTAGCTGCTGCGGTGCAGACACGGTGTTACTCACCTATCGAGAAGAAACAAAATCAACCTCAGCGTCCGATCGCAGGCCTTCCGCTCCTTGAGTTCTCTCCAGCGCTGGAAAGCTGATCCAATATTTACACGGGTCCTACTTCTTGCCTTATTGCCTTAAGCCTTCTTTTGTTCCGCAAACGTTTTCCTCTTTTGTTTTTTTATCCACCATCTCTATCTTTCTGTCGCTCGGCTCGGCTAATGTCCGTCCTGTGCACTGAACGCGCTCTCCTCCACATCATGAGTAGACACGCCCCTTACTGCTGATTGGCTACAAGTTTGTTTTGCTATTTGGCCCGAATCAGTTTTCTAAAGCATTTTTGAAAAATCACTTACCCCACCTTTAAGAAAATAAATAAATTTAAAAAAAAGAAAAAATTATTTGCAACAGACAGGTGAAAATAGTAAAGTGCATAGTAATGTAAATAGTAAAGTACACCAATGCAAAAACATGTTTTTTATGGCTTAATGCAAAGAATATAAAATGTCTGATGACAAATTTTACACAACCATTTTCATTTAAAAGTTTGAGAGTTAAGAAGATATTTTTTTCTTCATTACATTTTTTATTTTTATTTTATTTATGTATTTTTTTTTACATAAATTCATACTTTTTATTTGTCAAACATTGTAAGTATACAGTAATAATATTTCACAATATTACTGTTTTCACTTTAAAAGAAATGCCATTTTGGTGAGCATAAGAGATTTTTTTCCAAAAACAATCTTAAACAAAAATAATCTTACTGACTTTTGCTCATCCATCAATCAATCAATCAATCAATCAATCAATCAATCAATCAGTTCATTACATTGCAATTCAAACCGTGAATTATATTTCAGTTCATAATAAAATTCCTGGCAACTGAGTCATTTTATTGATTGAATGATTGATTGCGAAAGCCACATTTTACTTGCATTTGTGAGTATGTGAGAAACAGGAATTTACTAGCAAGACAGGGGGAGAAGAAAGGATGGAAGGAAGGAAAATTAATGAATGTAGACTGGGTCTTGAACCTGCATCATCCGCATTAGAACCACGGCTCAACAAGTGAGGAATATGTGTGCTGCGCTACAGCTCTGATTATTTAACTTATGAGCACAGCTGTGATTGAAATATTATGCGAGTTTTTGCCTCAGTCCCTTAGCAACACATCTGAAACAAAACTTTCTTTGCGGAAATTCTCCCGCTCCTATCGTCCTTGCTCTGCTAAGTACCCTGCTTTGGGGAACATGAGGGAACGGCTGCAGCGCTGTACGGGGGAAATTTGTTCTGTATTCACACCATTAATATCCGTGACAGAGGCGTGCGCATGGCTCTCAGAAGACCAGCGTTAGCACACAGCCGTGTACGACACTTCCACTGTACATATGGTATTAGTGAATACTTCAAGCATTGCAGATTAAGTTTCATAAGTCACCGTAAATACAAGCGTCTGGATACAACAGCTACACCTGTTTAAGAATTCAGAGCATTGGGAATTCCGCTGGCCTGGTAATAAAGTCTTAAATAATGCCCATGATTCCTGATTTAATTAGATATGTGAGGTTTGGGCTGCTTGACGCTACGGATAGAGGAAGTGAGGTTTAATTCAGAGCAGACATTAGAAATCCTGTAATCTTTTGATTAAAAGTACCGCAAGCGATTTCTGATTTCATTTGTCACTTGTCGGATTTGGTTTGTTGTGTTTTGGTTTGGATGAATGATCATCTACATCTACTTGAACTGAAGATCCAGATAAGGCATGCTGGTCTTTATTTTTATTTATTTTATTTTTTGTGATATAAGTAAATGAGTACCTCGTCTGTCATAACACTGCGTACGTTCAGAAAATAGATAGGTTTAATATACATCTATTTGTTTCATATTCAGATACGCTATTGGAAATGAAGCAGTTACGTTCTTTCAGGCTTCATCGATTTTTTTCTTTTTTCTTTTACTTTGATATTGTTACTGTGATAAATACAAAATGTATTGTGCACCATCTTAGAAGGGCTTTAGAATGTATGATGTATAATATAATTTACATGATGTTTTTTATGGATCAATCAAGAGCTGTATCACTGTATTACTCAGATCAACAATCAAAGCAGCCTCCTGTCATCAATCTTCTAGTAACAAACAGCATTTGACTGATAAAACAGCGTCAAGTTTAGTTTGCTCTAAGCTCCTTAACTAAAGCCGGAGATAGAGATAGATATAGATTGTCTTTCCTGTGGGCATTTTTCTAGTTCAGATTTCCTTCAACTTACCACACTATTGTTTTTTCTTTAATGAGTGGAATTTTGACTGGAAATGTTGTGATATCTTGGAAGCGGTGCTTTGGTGAGTGTTCAGAGTTTAGGAGGGAGAGATCTGTCTAATGAGGGGCGTCTTGTGAAAGTGCCTGACGTGTGACTGTGGTGTGAAGAGCAAACACCAACTGTCAGCTAACAGGAACATCATGAGAATTTAGCATACAGTAGCCCCAAACTGTATTTGGACAGTTTATCCACATATCCAAGTGTATAACAAAAAATCAAACCAAGTGCCATTTATTTGAAAGAAAAATAGCAAAAAGATGCTTTACAATCACACAAATTATTATTATTTATTTTCAGTATATTATTATTATTTAAATATACTGTACATATATAATTTTATATATATACTGTACACTACCAGTCAAACGTTTTTGAACAGTGAGATTTTTAAAGAATAATTTTATGCTCACCAAGCCTGCATTTATTTGATCCAACATACAGACAAAGCAGTACTATTGTGAAATATGTTTTACTATTTAAAATATTTGCTTTCTATTTGAATATATTTTTAAATGCAATTTATTCCTGTAATCAAAGCTAAATTTCCAGCATCATTACTCCAGTCTTCCGTATTATTATTAATTCATATAGTACATTATGCAAATGAACAGCACATTGTGACTGAATGAAATATGAATGGGAACAGTCTCCCTGCAATACAACTACAAATAACCAAACAACCAATCGCCACATTATGGCTCCAGCTTTGGCCGTGTGTTATAATTTTAGATCCATAATTCATTTATATGAGTAAACATGCTGATATTCTCATCTGTTACCACATATGAGTGCTCGTTAATAAAGAAACTCCCATATGAGGGACGTGTTTTTCAGCAAAGCTCGTGTCTATGTATAAATTCTCATCTTCAAACATGACCAGTGGGAATTCACAGCTGTGGACGGAGCAGCACTCTGTTCCATGTGCTTCGCTGCTTTTATGAGAGAGAGAGATACTGTACATATATAATTTTATATATATACTGTACACTACCAGTCAAACGTTTTTGAACAGTGAGATTTTTAAAGAATTATTTTATGCTCACCAAGCCTGCATTTATTTGATCCAACATACAGACAAAGCAGTACTATTGTGAAATATGTTTTACTATTTAAAATATTTGCTTTCTATTTGAATATATTTTTAAATGCAATTTATTCCTGTTAAATTTCCTAAATTTCCAGCATCATTACTCCAGTCTTCCGTATTATTATTATTATTATTATTATTATTATTATTATCATCAATAATTAAAACAGTTGAGTACTTTTTTCAGGATTATTTGATGAATAGAAAGATCCAAATATCAGCAAATATCAGCATTTATCTGAAATAAAAAAAAAAGCTTTTGGAACATTATACACTACACCATTCAAACGTTCGGAGTCAGTATAATTTGTTTTTGTTTTTTTACAAAAGATTCTATTTCAGATAAATGCTGTTCTTTCTATTCATCAAAGAAATCTGAAAAAAAAATTATACTTAGCTGTTTTAAACATAATAGCAACAACAACAACAACAACAATAATAATAATAATAATACATGTTTTTTAAACAGCAAATCAGAATAATATAATTATTTATAAAGGATCATGTGACTGGAGTAATGATGCTAATAATTCAGCTTTGAAATCACAGGTATAAATTACATTTTAAAATATATTCAAATAGAAAACAGTTATTTTAAATAGTAAAACTATTTCAACATTTTAGTAGTGTAGTTAGTAGTGTGTGTATAAATAACAATAAAACTTTATTAGCCCTGTTATGGCATTTTGACTCCATAAGTTATTATTAATCTTTTCCCTTTTTTAAGATAATTTGTGATCATAATTTATTCATATAGTACATTATGCAAATGAACAGCACATTGTGACTGAATGAAATATGAATGGGAACAGTCTCCCTGCAATACAACTACAAATAACCAAACAACCAATCGCCACATTATGGCTCCAGCTTTGGCCGTGTGTTATAATTTTAGATCCATAATTCATTTATATGAGTTGTTTTGGTTTGTTGTGTTGTGCTTTGGTTTGTTGTGTTGTGGTTTGTTTTGTTGTGTTGTGTTGTGTTGTGTTTTGTTTTGTTTTGTTGTGCTGTTGTGTTGTGCTTTGGTTTGTTGTGTTTTGTTTTGTTTTGTTTTGTTTTGTTGTGTTTTGTTGTGTTTTGTTGTGTCTTGTTTTGTTTTTGAAAGAAGTCGCTTATCCTTAAATGACAAGGCTGCGTTTATTTAATAAAAAATAAATAAATAAAAAAAAACCCACCAAAACAACAAAAAACAGCAGTAAAATTACAATTTAAAATAGCTGTTTTTTTTTATGCAAATCGCAAAGCATAATTTTCAGCAGTCACTAACCAATAAAGACTTTTATAATATTACAAAAGAAAGAATAGCTTTGCCATCACAGGAATAAATAACAATTTAAAATATATTCAAATAGAAAGCTGTTGTTTTAAATTCTGATAATATTCACAATATTGCTGTTTTTATGTCATCAAATAAATCAGTAAGCATAAGCAATTATTTTTTTTTTTTTAGAAAACATTAAAAATCAACAGTATTTTTATTTTACATTTATGCTTTTTACAGAACTAGACAGGTATTTGTGGAAGGAAAAAAAAAACGAAGGTTTTAAAACCTTTTTAGTTCTAAAATGAATAAAATGAATTTACCCAACGGACAGCATAGACGCAGACCTCAGGAACAATGTGACGCAGATTGATGGACAACACTACCACTACTTTCCCAACATCTCGCTGTACACTGTGTCTGTAAGCCATGAGATCATTTCTGCACTTTATCTTTTATTGATGTGCTTAATTTTAGTTCCTAGAACCCACATAAACCACCTTCTGCATGACTTCCTGTTAAACAGGCAGTGGAGGGATGGTTAGTTCATTCCGAGTGAAATGGCATATAGGGAAAATGAATCCATCATAGGTACAATCAGCCTGACCTCAGGGGGGATTCATACAGATGTATAACTCATGTGCTGGCAGGTATGAACACTCAGAGATGAGGCTGTTTATCTTTGTCGTTGGGTTGAAAAGGGCCACTTTGGCATCTATCCGCTCCGCTAATTCCCGCCGTCTTTTATCTGGTTCCTGCTCTGGGCCACCATCCGTCCGTCCATCAGCGGTGTGCACGCTCGCTCTCGCTTTGATACTGTTGCCCTCACAGCTAAAGCAATGTTCAGGGTTCAATACAGGCATTTTTTACCACTGAAAATAATTTTGTTAAAAAAAGTTACAGTAACAACATGCAGAGAGGCAGTGATTCAAAATGATTTTCCATTGTAATATATGTTTCCATTGTATCAAGCCCGAATTCTGTTGCTACATCCAGAGCATTCCTTTAAACTCTGGTGTGAAAAGTTTCCTTTTTGTATTTCCCTCATTTGATTTATTTTATCTTTCTCTCGCTCCGTCCAGGTGTAACAACAGAACGCAGTGCATCGTCATCACTGGACCAGATGTTTTTCCTTTAAAAAAAAAAAAAGATTTGGCCAGCGTTACGCCAACTAATAAACAGACCAAAGATGTTTTTCGTTAGTGCTTGATCATTGTGTTTGCTCGTAAGAAACCGCAGCTATACGACTGTCAGAAAAGACAAATGACTGCACATGGATCTAACATGAACAAACTCCAAACAAACGCCTCACTTCTATTCTCAGATTTCCCATTACATTAAGAGTATGGATTGTTTTGCTCCATTAAACAATTAGATAGTAATATTATTCTCTGATTGAATTGTCTCGTCTTCTCAGAGAATGTTTCCAGAGACTTCACATACCAGACGGGGTCCTCTGCCGCACATTTCCCACCACGATCCCGAAATAACAAATGCCCGCTGGATTTTAGTGCCTAGCATTAGTTTAATCTACGTCCGTATCTATGGGTTATTGAAGTCGAAATCCCACACAAAATGTTAAAAGCTGTTGTTTTTTTAATGAACTATCATGTTTTTCAGCTTTTCTCCAGGAATATCTGTGATTGTTCACATTCCTTTTCTGATGCGAGCACCTTTACAGAATACGTTTTTGAGTTGTTGTTTTGTCTTAATGTTTCTGCATTAGCTCCTCTAGGCATTTCCAGGCGGTCCGGAACAGTTTTATTTACTAATCACAGTTTGACTCCCTAGGACGCCCGAGCCCTCATGTCACCCTCAGGCTGCTGAATGCTGTTTTTTGACTGGAAGTGATTTTCTTATTTGGTTTTGTTTGGTTGCAACAGTGGAATGTTCATGATGTTCTTTGGCCGACGGTATCTCAGAGAACAGGATTTGTCCTGGTATTAAGTGTACTGCATACTCTGAGATCTGTCCAGATTGTTTTGGCTGACTAAACTAGAAATTATTTGCCCTGTGGATGGATGTCGCCATAATTTTATTAGTTTTAACCTACCTCATTAGTAAGCTGGAACTATATGGATTAACTTTTTTCTTATTTAATTTTCCAATGGGTATCTATCTATCTATCTATCTATCTATCTATCTATCTATCTATTTTCTTTTGCTTTAATTATTATAACAACCTAAAATTCTGTTTGTGGGTACAAACTAATGAAACACTGTTGTGAATCTGATGTAAACATGTCCAGAATCTACGTTCAACCCAAATTCAAATATACACTAAATTATAAAATATAATTTCCATAAAGAAACTGAAACCAATTTTATGGACCATTAAGGTTTTTTTGTATTATAATATTATTTTCAGGACAATTAAGCACATTTCCCCACCAAAATTATTATTACTGTAATGCATCCAGAAAGGAGTTTTTTTTTTTTTTTTCATTCTCCAAGGTGAATCTCATTACTGGAATGCAATATTTTTTATCATACTATTTCTTTATTTAATCAGCATAAAGCCAGCACAAAAAATACTATCATGACTATTACACTTTTTTTTGGCATTATGGCCAAAAAAAAATATAATAGTATATATTACTAAAATAAATAGTATACATTGAAATAAAAATGGTAATGGTCCTACAAACAAATATAAATTGTTTTCTGTAAATTCTATTTCATTATGTCTTCTTTATCTCATGTTCCTTGTTCTGGACAGATTTCGTGAGATTCATAAGCAGAGCTCCTGTAGAAAATGGTGACTTCCATAAAAAAGAAAACAGTGCTCAGTGTCTCATGGACATTGTGGCCAGAGAACGGACACCATTAGTAGATCGATCATAATAATACAAAAAGGAAATCTGAGAAATGTAGCTTTAGATTGTCAGAAATGTTCATGTTTTGGATTATTTAACATGATTCTGAAGATGGCCTTCATGAGATAAAACTCCTGAAGACTGTCAAGATTCTGTTTATATGTCTGTCTGGATTTTGTCTGTCTGTCTGTCTATGTATCTCTCTTTATCTTTATCTGGTGCTATGGAAGGATTTGGAAGGACAGTGTATTGGCCCGTAGTACAAAGCCATGACGATAAGAATTTCTTGAGAAACGAGACTTTAAAAAAAAAAAAGTGCCTTAATAGCAAAATATCCTTATTGACTAGTAAATTAGTTAAGCTGTTTATATTCATCATATACTCTATTTACTCAGAATTCACTATAATAATACAAAATAATAATAACCATGGACAAGACTGTCAGTATATTTTTGAAGTGAAACTGGACTGTTACTCAGTGAAACAGGCACAAAAAAGTAATCATTTAAATGTTATAATCACAAATAACAAAAACTGTACTTGCAAATTACAGATGAAAGATCCATTTTTTATTCACTGTTATGACGTTCCAAACAGTTCCAACTCCATATGAATTATGTGGAAAAATTGAATTTTAAAGAATATTCTGGCCACTCATTTCAGTATAATTAAAGTGAAAGACGTAAACTCTGATATGACAAATGTTCACCGTAAATAGTATAATGAAAGTGATTCATATGATGTGTGGCGTATGTCAAGTCTTTTGATAGATTTGTGTGAGAACCAGACCGAAATATAAAGTTAATATTGTTTCAAATGTTACAAAGTTAACATACAGCATTATTGTAATTGCATGAAAAAGAGTGATATTATTCAAAACTATGTTCCACAAAAGAAAGCAAATCAGGTATATTTGGAATGACACGAGGTCGAGTAAATGGCTCTTTTTCATCAGGAAATCTTAAAGTAACCTGACAGACGCATGCTTTAAACAGTAAAAAGCACCAGCTCGCCAATCTCCCACTAACACACTGATCTGGACTAAAAGAAAAATGAAAAATGTCGCCTTAAAAAGTAAGAATACATTTTACAAACTTTACCTGTTGGAAATTGGAACCGCATACCGCCGTACCGGACTGTTCAAGTGTTCGTATAAAGCCTAGAAGGGCTGACAAGAACTCTGTGCTTGGAGAGGAACTGTAGAGTCGAGGGACAGCTTTATTTTTCTGGTTTTGAGTTTCCCTCCAGCACAACTTACCATCTGTCCACCTGGAATTCAGATTTCCCTGGTCGATGTCCCCGAGTTCTTATGAAAATCTATACGGCGCTATCTAGAATTCAGCCTGTGTATTTCCCCGCAGCTTTCCCTCGACAAGAGCAGATTGATTCGTCTTCAATGCCACATACGCTGTCCTTTTGTACTGTGACACAACCCCCTTTAACCTGGCTCTCTTTCATGTGTTGAAGGTGTCTAACTGTGCTCTCTTCCTCCTCTGACAGCTGTAGCTCTGTGCATAATGCCCGTAACCTCATGACATGTTAACTGCATGTGATCATGGACATGATGGTTAATTCATTTTAATCTCTTTTTCCCCCTGCACTCCTTTCATTCTCTCTTCCAACGCTTAAAATAGAAGTGGAGCAAAAAGGTAAATCACTGACACAATCAGCTCCTTGTTTTTCTTTCTTTAATATATACATTTTGTGGTTGTAAAACCTTCCTGTGCCCACTCTTGCTGTTCCGATAGCAGGCAGTAGCAGAAAGGGTCTCGTATTTTAGTAAAGGTCAGTGCACGAGCGGCAATCGGAGGGAAGCTTTAAAAGAAAATTATAAAGCACAAGTTAAATGTTAGCGGTAATGCTGAAGGTACAAATGCCCTATTTCCCCCTCCTCTTCCTGTCCTCCACACTCTTTTATTGCCTGTTCGAACCCCAGCCCCACTCCACACTCCCAGCATGCTTTGATAAGAGGGTTCCTATAGACTTACACTACCTCTACTGTTTCTGGCTTTCCCTTCTTCTAATTTTCTGTCTTTCTCTCTGACTCTACATGTCTCTCTCGCTCTCTCACTTCACCCTTTCTACATGTTTGACTATCATGTCTTTGTTAAGAAGAAAGGAAATGCTTTTATGCTGTAAAATGATTGCAACATTAGGCCCGTAGGAAAGACGTAAAAACTGTGGAAAAACTTGTGTCTCGGGACACAGACTGCCTGTATGCTGCTCTTCTCTTCAAGCCTTATTTAGTTGTCTGCTTTTATTTGCAGGGCAGATTTGTCGTATGCCTTCCTTTTTTCCTTTGCGTTTGGTTGTGGTTTGATTTTTCCATCACTCCCCTCAGTATGTCCAAGCAGCAGTGAGCCGAAACTGTTTGCTTACGGACACATAAAAAACTGTTTTTGCTTCCGTTTTAAGCTTCAGTAACCTTCAGATGCAGATTCTTCGCACCTTTTACTTGCTTGTGAATGTGGGTAGCTGTTAGACTTCTTAGTGTGTGTTTCTGTCTTCACCGACTACCCAGTTATCAGAGTGATGTAGAATCAGACGGCACTTTGCCCTCTGCTTTCAACTAGCGCGAGCTGCGTTCGCTTACGTTTGACTGTTCTCTGCTGTGTTCTTCTCATCACTAGTTTTTGTTTGTCCCGGAACTCTGAAAGCGGTTGGAGATCCGTCGTTTCTGTACGAGGCGGAGCAACAAGCGGGGTCGTGGTGCAAAGACCCTCTCCAGGCAGGAGACAAGGCTTATTTCATGCCCTGGACCCCTTACAGAACAGACACACTCATTGAGTACAACTCGCTCGACGACTTTCAAAACTCCCGACAGACCACGACGTACAAACTCCCCCATCGGGTCGACGGCACGGGATTTGTGGTATACGACGGGGCGGTGTTTTTTAACAAGGAAAGGACACGTAACATTGTCAAATTTGACCTGCGGACCAGAATCAAAAGTGGGGAGGCAATTATAAATAACGCCAATTATCATGACACCTCACCATACAAGTGGGGCGGGAAAACAGACATCGATTTGGCAGTTGACGAAAACGGCCTTTGGGTGATCTACGCCACCGAGCAGAACAACGGCATGATGGTGATCAGTCAGCTCAACCAGCTTTATTTTTCTGGTTTTGAGTTTCCCTCCAGCACAACTTACCATCTGTCCACCTGGAATTCAGATTTCCCTGGTCGATGTCCCCGAGTTCTTATGAAAATCTATACGGCGCTATCTAGAATTCAGCCTGTGTATTTCCCCGCAGCTTTCCCTCGACAAGAGCAGATTGATTCGTCTTCAATGCCACATACGCTGTCCTTTTGTACTGTGACACAACCCCCTTTAACCTGGCTCTCTTTCATGTGTTGAAGGTGTCTAACTGTGCTCTCTTCCTCCTCTGACAGCTGTAGCTCTGTGCATAATGCCCGTAACCTCATGACATGTTAACTGCATGTGATCATGGACATGATGGTTAATTCATTTTAACAAGGAAAGGACACGTAACATTGTCAAATTTGACCTGCGGACCAGAATCAAAAGTGGGGAGGCAATTATAAATAACGCCAATTATCATGACACCTCACCATACAAGTGGGGCGGGAAAACAGACATCGATTTGGCAGTTGACGAAAACGGCCTTTGGGTGATCTACGCCACCGAGCAGAACAACGGCATGATGGTGATCAGTCAGCTCAACCCCTACACCCTTCGCTTCGAGGCCACCTGGGAGACCACCTACGACAAGCGGTCGGCCTCCAACGCTTTCATGATCTGCGGGGTTCTGTATGTGGTCCGATCCACGTACGAAGACAACGAGAGCGAAGTCAGTAAGAGCCTCATCGACTACATGTACAACACCAAACTGAACCGAGGCGAATATGTCGACATCCACTTCCCCAACCAGTACCAGTACATCGCCGCTGTGGAATACAACCCGCGAGACAACCAGCTGTACGTGTGGAATAACTTCTACATCCTGCGGTACAATCTGGTGTTTGGTCCACCTGATCCAGCTCACGGTAAGCCTCATCTCCAATCCGTCTAGCCACACACACACACACAGAGTCCCTCTGGATATCTGAAGTGGTCGCGAGATTTCAGCCACTGAGTTGGTATTCCTCTGGCTCCCGAGTCTGTGTGTCAAATGTCACGGATGACTGATTTTTAATTTCAGATTTAATATGTGCTTGATGTATTCCGGAAACCTTTCTCGAGTGCAAGCAACATCTTAGAGTGGAGTGGTGGGACTCAGCAGTAAACAACATCGTAGGCGTTGTTAGCATATAATAAGAGACGCATCTCTCGAGGTTTCAAAAGACAGAGCCATTCCTCCCCAGCGTTTAGACTCTTGAGGCTAAACTCCCTCCCACTGCCCCACTGAGAAAGGCACCGCTTCCCTCATTGGTAGAGGGTTACCTGTCTGGACAGGTACGTAGGCAGCCTTGCGGCAGCGGTGGATCACCCCCAAAAGAGTAGATCTCAAGCGCCTCAAAACAAACAACTCACACTTTTGCTCGAAGGCCTCTCAATGTGTCTGTGCTGAGAGACGGCTCTCCGCTGAGAATGGATCAGTCCCGAAGGTCACGTCAGCGTAGCCTGTTTTTAATTTAGCTGTCAAGAGCTAGGACAGGATGGCCATACTATGTGTCAGATCATCTTTACATTGAAAAAAATAATAACCGTAATTACCATAATCCCAGCTCAGCCTAGCGGCCGAGACTCTTGCATTACTCCAGAAAACTTGGCTAAGTGTAGAGGTCAAACAACTTTACGCAGATTAGTGGGGCTTAAGAATTTAAAATAAGAGTGTCTTTCTTCTGTGGAGACCCAGCGGTGTCTACCTTACTGATGAATCTGCTTGTGCAGACACTGAGCAGAGTAACTGTACCCAGGGCCGTCATGAAACTGTACCCCTAATGAGTGCACTTTGGATAAAGTCGTTTTGGATAAAAGCTATCCAAGATAGTAGTTTGTAAGCTAAAATGTTTTTGTGGCCTGCTTATAGCATTCAAAAGCACCTCAAAGGCTAACTGTTATATTATAACCAGCCATCATAGGTGTGCTTCTGATATGAAGGCTGCAACCTTTTTAACTGGCCAAATTCAAGGCAACGTCACATGTATCCTTCACAGAGAATGCAATCTCAGAATACACTGTGGAAGAAAAGTTGTCTGTGATAATATTATATATATATATACTTTTTAAATCATCCAAGATAAAGTATGAATCAAGAGCAAAATTGAATTTTGTAAATTTAAAATATGCATACAAGCTAAGAAAAATATGTAAAAACGGGGCTTAATGAACCATTAATTTTTTCACAGGAGACTTTCCCTTATTTTAAATTGGGTTAAAAGGAAATGTCCAGAAAATGGATAATGTCCTGGCAGAAAATTACAAGTACCTTTTCCATTTTTCAAATCATTTTTTTTTTCCTACCATGTGTATTGCATTAATTGCTGAGACGCATATAGACATCACAGTGTACCTTAGCAACATGCTAACTGCTTACCATATTGAAATCAATTGTAATTTGTGTCTGTGCACTTCACATAAGGAATGCTATTTTGTGCTCCTCGCAAATCATTCACTTGAGGTTCCAATGAGGTTCCATTTCTCTTAAGATGCTGCTTTAAAAGGTGCCTATGTAGACTGCAAAGCAGCTTACTAGCTTTTGGAACAGAGCCAAAACACCTCTCCGAAGGCTGTGTATGACATTCATAATCACGTTACTATCGGCACTACTTATTATATCAGACTTATTTTTGAGCTCAGGATAGAATCATCTGAGTCATTCTTAGCATGTGCTAGCAGCTTTTCTGTAGCCTGAAGCGATTACTGCCACTGAATTAAAACCATCGAGCAAATTCATCCCTGCACAAGCAAGCAATTAAGTAAGAAATATCAACTCAATATCACTTCAGATGCAAAGTATTAGGGCTCAGATCTAAAATTCATTGAACATTTCTCTGGGGTGTTACCTCGGAGGGTTTAAATCTTTCATTAAGGAAATGTTATCACATTGTTACCACAATGTATCCACTTGTGGTTCACACTTGTACGATGTGGCTGATTGAATGTGCCCGTGTATATTCTGCCTGTCTTTTAGCAGCCTGTAAAGGAAATAATTAGCTCTACAATCAGTGCTGATGAAGGACAAAACATGCTAATTTCACTAGCATTAGCTCCTGTGCAGCGCGCGAGTTGAACGATACCCCCCATCCCCACTTGAATCTAATCTGCCATCATTTGTGTTTTCTCTATTTTAGATGTGGTGATTATCTCATCATCTCAATAATCAGCTCACTCACACAGCCGTCAGAGTTGTGCTCCGCAGAGTTGATGTTTGCTCCACTTTACTTTGATAGCTGTGAAATTACCTTGCTTTTGAGACACTGCTACAACGAACCACTAGAGTATGTACGATATGATAAGCCCCTGCCTTTATAGGAAGAAATCCCTCCCCTTAAAGTCAGAGGGCAACAAAAACAGCTCCTCTTCAGGGATGGAGCGATTACGAGATTAATTGTTAGGGTATTCGTGCAAATGACATGACCAGAAATATTCCAATATCACATCTGTAACTGCATCAGTGACTGCAGTAGGTCAGTTTTAAGTGTGACTCTTAATTTTGCTCAGACTGTAACAGTCTGGGTGTAAATGCGGAGAAATTCAACATCATTTTATTAAATATAATATTTTCAACAAAAGGGGAATTCAAAAGAGGAATTTTAACCTTCAGAAAATGTTGATCGGCAATCTCAAGGGATCAAACTAAATACTATATGTGGCCTTTTATTTTCTGTTTATCTTCTATGAAATGTGAAGTTTAAAACCTGATTCAGTGTTTTCTGGTAATAAATATTGAATAAAATGTATAATACAAAAAAAAAAAAAAAAGTATGCCAGAATGAGTACCAGCTAGTTTAATATTTATTTACTACTTTGTTTACTATACTACAACCTTTTTGTTTTGTTTTGTTTGAGACACTAGGCGTGTTTCCATTACAGATTTGCGCAAAACTTTGGCGATATTTTATAAATGTCGATAAAAAAGTATTGAGCACAGCGTTTCACCTGTAAATGCGAAAAAGCCGTTTCCATTGCAGTTTTGCGAATTATTCCTTTTTCGCATGGCCTGAAAAACCACCTCATGCGAGCGTAAAAACTTTTTTGCGATATATGGGAGCTTTTGAGAAATTGACGCGTTTCCATTAGGTGTATTTTCAATTCGCAATTTCAATTTGCGCAATTTGAAGGGTAATGGAAACCTACAGCCTACAGAGACTGTTAGAGACGGAGACTGTTAAAACAGATACCCCACTAGAATAACTGAGAATTTTCCTTGTTTTGATGCAAGTAAGAATGCATTTGAGATTCATTTTACTACCAACTGTAAACAGCGATGTGTCTCACCTGATCACTTGTGATCAGTATACTCAAAACTCTACTTAATACCAGGTGTAAACAAAATGTAATGTATTAGTGGACTGTATACCACATACCTGCCAGAATACTTGCTTGTATGCTGGCTTGATAGATTGTTCCTTCATGTGGAATGCTGGCACAACATATTAGGATGACATCTCATAAAGATCCTAAATAGCATCATATGCGTCGTTTGCTGAAAGAGAAAATGATTAAAACCAGCAGCATATTGATACTGGAATCATCTTTCATAATGGGGAATCATCTTGATGTGGAGGAGACAGACAGCATTTATATTTGCCATCTGAATCGGGGTGGAAAACACACATTACGCTGCTTGCCACTTAATCTAATTTTTGCTCATCATTAATGGAATTAGTTTGACACTGATTGTGATAATTGCCATGTGATATTACACTGCTGATGGTTAGCGAAATTTATGCAGAGCCTTCTCTGCTCCTGCCTGAAAAAAATACTGTTTTGTGTTCAGAAGACCACTAATGGATTTGGCTGTATTTTAGTCTCGCTTCTACTGCCACTTGGAGAGATTGCTCAGTGGCCTCTATTTTTGTTAAGGACCTCCCTTGAATTAAAAAATATATATATATTACAATTGCTAATGCTGCTGCATAATTATAAGATGCAAATTTCCACCTTCGATGTGAGCTTCACCTTCTCCCTTTGACCACACGTCTCAATCTTTTCCTCTTTGTGACATGTTTAGCCCCTCCCCCAGCCTAACCATTTATTCTCGTAACCAGCCCTCCAACATTTAGCCCCTCCCTAGAAAATCTAATTTAGCCCCTCCCCCAGTCAGCCCTTCTCAGTTGGAGGGATGCATCCTAGGGAGGCTGTCCTTCTTAGAACAGTCCCTCTATGGCTAGACTACTTCTCAGCATTAAAAGCTAGAATGAGACGGTCTAGTAAGTCTGCATGACAACAACCTTTTAGTTTTTGGAGTTCTTGTATTCAAAGTAAATAAAAAACAAAATAAAATAAACTCCAGTATGAATATGCTGCTGGTAAAATAAGGGTTCATATAAAGTAATAATTTTACAACAGTCAAAAACTCAAAAAAATATAGCCTACCTATACGCATGAATTGCTGCTGTTTCCAGTTAAAGTGAACACTAGAGGCAGTAGAACTCAAGACAACTTTTATTCCTTTTCACAAAAATTATGATTTACAGGGTCCGAGTTTCCATTACGAAAGCCTAATTTTCGGAAAATTGCTTGCACAATATGTTATGACAATTTTAACATCCTGAGAGATTTGAAAACTGATATTTTTGAATGTAAGCGTCACATATACAGCTTCATATGTACTGGTTTTCTAACTCAGCAGGTTTGCTCGGTAGCTCACGCGATACGGCGTTGTACTTGAGAGGCAAAGCACTCCGGTACAAATTAGTGCTGGGCAGTATACAGGTTCATACCGAATATCGGTGTTTAGCTTTGTTATGATATGAATATTTTTAAATACCGCAATACCGGTGTATGTCGCTTAAACAACATTCGGCAGCGTTTCCTAGCACCTGTCGCTTGCTGATTGTTTGGAATTATAAATATGAGCGTAGTTCGTCTGTTAATATCACATGCACTTTTTTGTTTGTTGTTTTTTTTAGTTTGTTACTCAGTTGCGCTGCAGGAGACAAAAAAGTAATATAGCCAAAACAACCGCATAGCTGCTCTTTAGTGTAGGTGCATGTTGATTTTTAGACATTATAAATGAGAGTGACTCCTGGTTAACATGTATTAAAAGGGGTCGTGTTTAGTCACTATTTAGTGTGGTATTTTTTGACAATATTCACTCCTCATGACAGTAAAATAGGGCATTCTAAGTCAATATACTGCAGTATTTCCTCTCTCAATCAGTAGAAAATATGGTTAACACCCGGTCATGCATGAAAAAAAAATACCGTCATGTACCGTGAAACCGGAATAATTTTGAAAAATACCGTGATATAAATTTTTGGTCATACCGCCTAGCACTAGTACAAATCCTGTGAAACTACGGTAAAAAAAAAAAAAAAACAGCTCAAATTTGCATAGAAGAAAATGTAAATAGCACAGTTGCATCAGAAAATGCGTTTTTATATGACTTCTGCTTTCGTTAAAACTACTGGGAAGGTTAAGGGTTGGATTTGGCATAGAGAGTCCCCAGGGGGAAGTCGTGGCCTAATGGTTAGAGAGTCGGACTCGTAACCCAAAGGTTCGAGTCTCGTACCGGCAGGGATTGTAGGTGGGGGGAGTGAATGTACAGCGCTCTCTTCCACCTTCAATACCACGACTGAGGTGCCCTTGAGCAAGGCACCGAACGCTCAACTGCTCCCCGGGCGCCGCAGCAAAAAATTGGCTGCCCACTGCTCTGGGTGTGTGTTCACGGTGTGTGTGTGCACTTTGAATGGGTTAAATGCAGAGCACTAATTCCAAGTACGGGTCACCATACTTGGCCACATGTCACATGTCACGTCACTTCAGACATTTGAATTCAGAACCACCGCAATACCGGCATAATAAAAATGTGGCCATTTTTTAGCACCACTTGCTGGACATTTCACTTTGAAACTGACACAACATGTCCAATAAGAAACGTTCAACGTCCAGAAAAGTTGTCACAAGCACATATTTTTCAATGAGCCTGGGTTGTCCTATTACATCCAAGCTATGTGTGTTGTCTTGTTTTGCCTGCATTTGAAGGCGGGCCAAATAACCCCTATAAAGAAAGTCTAGTCTGGTTTAAGTCAAATTTTTGAAAATTCAAAATGGTTTGGGTGAGGGAAATGTTTCTAAATGAATCATCATTAGCTCAATGTAAAAACAGTACTGGAACATCACTGGAAATTCTCCACCATGCTGGAACTAGTCCTTAGGTGCTTATCGCCACAACTTCATTTGAATATTTAGTTTGAAATTGTTCTCTGTTGCGAAGGTAATATTTCTTCTTTTTTTGACATTGAACTGAAGGTTCCTTTGAGCTTAATGTGAGTCAGACACATTTTCATTACAGCACTACAAACGTACTTATCTTAAGAGAAACTGCCTTTGTTACAACAAAGAGAAAATACTTCTGCCCATAAATCAGATTTCAAAGGCATTCTGTAAAATAATAACAGACACCTAGGTGCTATGAGACAGCTGAGTAAGTATCCATTTACCGCCCGCATGTTCAGTTTTGAAGGACCACAATCCATAATCGACACCACACCAAATTATACATAAAGCACAAAGGACAATAGTGTCAAAGTTTGAAAAGTTTTTTCTTTCTTTCTTTATGAAATGGTCTCTTTAGCACTTTTAACTTCCTTGTGTTTTGCTCAGATTTTTTTCTCTCTGTCTACATAAAGGAGCGATGGATTTCTCAAAGACACTGTGAAGTGTTGCATTTATTTTCTGTAATTCAAATAAAATAAATACATAGAAGTTATTTACACAATGTCCACTTTTGGAATGGACACTGGTTTTCATGTTTATGCTATATATATATATATATATATATATAATATGCACATTTGCACAATTCATGTGTGCATATTATACCGCTTGAATGACTTTCCTTTTTCGGCTCACGTAACCTAAGCATGTGGCATTTGGATAATGTTACCCAATAGACAAATAGTTTTTTTGAAGCATTATTTTTAGGCTACAGTTATAGTAGAATGGTTTGCGAATGTGGTTTCCTGTTGACTTTAACAGGCTTCTCTCATCTGTGGTTTAATTCTGGAACATTGAGCTAAAGCTTGTTTTACAGCCATTATGACAAACAGCCAGAATCTGGGAGTGAAAAGCCAATAATGGCACACCAGTCATGCCAACCGTGTCAAAACTCACACACATGGGTGAAAACCGTAAAGATCGGGGTCTGCAGGTAAAGGCGTTGCAGCTGTTTTTGCTCAGTTTTTATCTGAACCAGAGCTCTGGCTGGTCAGTTGGCACTAACTCACAGTAGGTCACGTCTAACCTCAAAAAGAAAGCCTTTTCTTTCACTCGATCGGTCTTTTCCACCTTACAAACATACATGGAGGTACTCTCACACCCATACTGCGCTAAAATCTCTCACACCTCTATGGGCCGCTTCATCGGTGGGTTTCTTGGCTGCACGCTGTCATTCACACAATCAGGTTAGCCGATGAAAGCGGCGGGTGAAGTTCAGAGGGTTTTCTGGGTTTATCCATATTTGTGGTTGGAGATATGAGGTCAGGTATATCACTGTTACCCTGTACAGGAAGAACCAATGCAAAATCCAAAGAAGTTTGAGTTATCTAGGACTCAAACCCCTTCACATTATGTAACTTCCTAGCTAGGAAAAACGTAATTAGGTTTTGGAAATAAGACACGTATATTTTCCAGTGTAAAGTGTGGCCTGCAATATTTGCTCAGTTTACGCTGATATATGTACCATATTTTTCTTGCCTGAGGAATTACGTTAGTTATATATTAAGATTGTGAAATATAGACACAGGAACAAAGAAACTGAGGGTGAGAGAAAAAATATGTTCAAAAGCCGTGCGATTCAGCTCTTTAATAAGCTCTTGAGATACAGTATAATAGAGCTTGAGGTCTTGTATCCAAGCTGAATATGTTTTACTTCATAATTATTCTCTTTTATTAAGCACTGGCACCCAAAACAGAACATAATTTGTGCAACAACTAATTTGACCTATTATTCTTTTTAGCACCACCTATCTCAGAGGCATCCACAACACCCAAGTTACTAAAACCAACAACCACTACAACCACCACTGCTCAACCGAGAGGTCAGGTGACTACAGTTACCACTGCAGGGACCAGAGCTGTTAATAAGACACCCAAATCACCAGCTGTACTTCCCCAAACCACCACGCCTCCCTCACTGGAGTCTTTCCCTCCACCTGAGCGCTTCTGCGAGAGCGTAGAGCTCAGGGACATACTGTGGCCGCAGACGCAGAGGGGCATGCTGGTGGAACGACCCTGCCCCAAAGGAACTCGAGGTGGGTGCATGTACCTGTTGAAGTGTAACACGCTGCAGTTTTCCACTCAGGGCTCTTTGAATTGCTATCAGTCACACACAAGCTGGTATGCATTTGGCCTCTAGGCGAAGAGAAATGGGTCTATTCTCTTAGGATCGAGCATTTGAATAAAGCAATAAAGCCATGAGAGGCCATGCGTTGTAGTGATTTTACATTTAGCTTTAATCTTGTTAGCAAAGGTGTTTACTTATTAGAATAAATCATTTGTTAATAATAATTAACATTTATTTATGCCAATGCATGTATTTATTTGGTAAGTCGTCCGACAGTCCTTTTTAGCTTTTGTATCTTAAATATCTTTACTGGTGCTTTATTGCCATAACAAATATTGGTCAAACTTTATTTTGTGTCCTTGTTATAGTGTAATAATATATTTAAGTACTGAGTAATGTTAATTAACTACCAATGTTGGTTACGTGTAATGGAATTACATAATTAATTTCCAAAATAAATGTAATTCTAATCAGTCAGTTACTGGGACAAAAAGTGTAATTAAATTACAGTTACTTATGAAAAGGTTAATGATTACAAAGGGGGTTAAATCTTAATTTTTTTCACATTGATTTCTTTCATAAATTGCATTGACCGCTCTAAAATATAAGACACCAATGTTTCAGGAGTTTAGGACACATGCTTATTCGATAAATGTTTTATTTCCTATTTGGGTTTATGCTTATGCTTTATTTTATTTTATTTTATTTTTTTAAGATTAACTGTTTTTTTTTTTTTTCCAATGCATTGTTGCCAGTGTTTCCTATCATAGCTATGCAAAGATTTGATTTCAAAAACAGTATCATAGCTTGTTATGATTTTAAATCTGTATTTAACCTCAGAATGATCTCAAAAGTAAAAAGAGGTGCTAAAGTCTGATTTTATGGTGGCTGTGCTTTAAAATTCAGTTATTATAATCTTAATTCAAGTGAAGGCTTTTGAAAGTCTGATAGTAATCGGTGTTGATTATGACTGTGAGGCTAACCTGCTTGCTTTAAATGTTTCAAAATGATTAACAGTTCAAAACATTAGAAAAGTAACCAAATGTAATGTTACATTATTTTAATAAAGTAATTGACATAGTTACACTACTTAATACATTTTAAATAGGGTAACTTGTGATCGGTAACAGTATTATATTTCCAAAGTAACCGTCCCAACACTGTTAACTGCATATACTTACTGTATGGTTAGGGTTAGGAAGAGGGTTTCCTTTAGGGTTAGTTGAATGTAATTATGCATAATTTATTGTTATTACTATAGTAAGTACATGTAACGTGTATGACAAAGACACACAGCATTGCTGCATACAATTAAATATTTTAAAATGAGATGAGTAGAAAACAACAAAGAACACTAAACAGTGCAGTATCAGACAAAGAAATAATAAATTAGGCTTTAAGGATACATTTACAAGTAAAAGCTAATAAATGTAATTATAGTAATTAAATGTGAAAATTGTGCTGGAACCACAGACTGGAGTCAGATAACTCACTGGCTCTCATTTTATGACGGACAATCCATATCGTATTTATTTATAAAAGATTACACGTACTAATGTGGCTAATAATAATGATGATGATGTTATCTTTATTTAAACAGGCACTGCCTCCTACCTATGTGTTCTCTCCACTGGGACCTGGAACCCAAAAGGCCCAGATTTGAGCAACTGCACATCCCACTGGGTGAATCAAGTCGCACAAAAGGTTTGTAGTTCCAGAATATATCTGTCCTCGCAGAACAAGGAGCAAAAAAAATGTGACAGTCTTTAGAGCATAACATCATAAAAATAAAATACTCTCCGGTGCCATATTGTGGAGCTCATTCTTTCTGTTATCACTTGTTAAGAGGAAGACACACAGCCTTCAAACATCCAATAGGGATCTTGCAGATCGATCTGTGTGTGCACTTTTGTGTTAATGTGAGATGCTTCCTGTAAATAGAATGGATGTGCACAATGGGACACCAAACATCCTACCGTACACCCACAAAAATGAACGAAAGTAGCAGAAATGCTTCAGCCATTGAAATGCTCTTCCAAAGTATTACCAGTTTCTAATGATAGCTGTAATTGCTCGCGGGGGGGGGGCTGTTGCTGACTCAGCGTGATGATGTCATAATGGGAGTCAAGAGCCTCGTAGATACAAAATGATATTTTTCAGAGCCATGCTGTGAGGTTAATTTGTGTAATCTCTCAGATCCGGAGCGGGGAAAACGCAGCCAACCTGGCGAACGAGCTGGCCAAACATACCAAAGGAGCCATCTTTGCCGGTGACATTAGCTCTACCATGAGGCTCATGGAGCAGCTGGTGGATATTCTAGACGCTCAGTTACAGGAACTGCGACCCAGTGAGAAAGACTCCACCGGCCGCAGCTTCAATAAGGTATTAACAGGATTTCATTCTCAACATGATTTTTTAATAAGCAGCAGCATGCCGTGGACGTTTCAGAGGCACTTTGCTTAAAGGACACTTGCTTCAAAAAGATTGTTAAACGGCATCAAACTCATTGTGTTACACCCCATTGTGCTTTTAGAGAATTGAAAAAAAGTATAAATGCACAGATTGAAGTGAATCACTCAGTGGGTTTTGCCTACTATCCATGCAAAACAGTATGTCTGATCAGAATGAGTGTTTCCAGGACATTGAGTATGCCCAAGATGCTTAGATGATATACTTTGTCTGGTGTGCATCCGTACATGCATTTGTGGGTAATATTTTGTGCAATGGATGAGGACTTTTAGTTGTATAATAGTGATAATAAGATTGAAGCTGCCACAACGGTTTTTAAATGCATGAATGTAAATGTATGACAAAGTTGACACGAAAGAAAGATTAAGAAATAATGAATATCTAGGTAATGAATTTAGATGCAACAAGATGTGACAAAGGGGACTGTGGTATCACAACAACATGGTACTAAGTCCCAGTATTAGCGCACTGTCTCGCACACTCATACTTTCACATCACCAGAATAGTACATATTTTACTGCATTTTACAAGTATGCAAATTACAGTGCAGACACTTTCTGAAAATAGGTCACAAGGAGAAGAATGAAGCCAGTTATCAGTCTACAAAAATGATTAGTTGCTTTTATATAAAACCTATGCATTGCATTTAAAATACATATGAGAGACTGCTTTATGTGCTTAACTGCATACTAGCCCTTTTGGTTACAACTGGCCATTATGTAACATTTACTTCAACCATTATGGATCTTGAGGGCATACATTCACCAAACATGAGCTTTAAAGATATATGGCTCTATCCAGCATGTTCTAAGGCTACAGGGACTGAATATTAGTTGTTAAAGACATAGTTCAACCAAATGTACAATTCTGTCATCATTCACTCATGAAACCCATAAGACTTTTGTGTACAAATACACATCTTTTTAATGCTACTTGAGAGAATTCTGTCTTTGCATTGAAAGTCCATTCAACCTAAACTTTGAAGCTTCAAAAAGTTTGACATTGTAAAAGTACGAATTTAATAGTTTAATCCCAGTTTTCTGAGGGGACACACTATGTCGAACAGATTTAATTCAGGCTTTTATTCAAATGTAAACACTGCTCAACGCACATAAAAAGAGCACATCAAATATGGACAAAGGCAGCTCAGCATGCTTCACATAAACAAACTTCATTGGTTCTTGCACATCAAGCAAGGATGTCTGAGCTTCTGTTTATTATTATTTATTTTTTTTACGTTACGTGGTTATGTATTAATGCATGCAATTTGATCGGTGTTTAAATGTGACTGCAAGTCTAAATTAAATCCGTTCATCATAAAAAGTGAGCTTGTTCCTTCAGAAGGCTTAGATTAAACTGTTTGATTCATACATGTTACTTTTACGATGTTGTTTGGAACCACATGAGGGTGAGTAAATGATAACAGAATCTTCATTTTTGGGTGAACTATCCCTTTAAGTCAGGGAGCTTGGATAGCAAATTCAAAGTGTTTGAAGTAACATTACTTTTGTTAAATACTAAGACAGAAACCTCTTTATTGGCTATTGTGTCGTCTGTATGGCTTTTTGTGTGTTTCATTCATTAAAGTCAAAGAAGTGGGTGGATATCAAATGGCTGGAGCACAGGCTGTACTCACTAAGAGTGAAGCGTTTCTTTCAAATTAATTTCATAGTTACAGGCCAGTGGAAGGGACTGAAGGCACACAGGCCTGATTGCAAAGAGTTTGGATCCCCCAGTGGACTATAACAAGAATGGCATTTGTCTCATGGAGCCAGTGTAATTTACATGAACAGGACATGTTCCTGGACCAACATCCTTAGTTTAAACAATAAGCTACACTCCTTCAGTGAACAATGGCCCTAAACCCTATTTCTGATTTTAACCATTACCCCAGCCTCTTTCCTATGATAAATCATGACTCCAACACTAACATCAACTTTTAAAATATGGTCACACTTTATTTTGAGGTACAATTCTCGCCAATAACCAACCATTAACTACGACTTTTGCCTCAATAAACTCCCAATTTGCTGCTTATTAATAGTTAGTAAGGTAGTTGTGAAGTTTAAGTATTGGGTAGGATTAGGGATGTAAGGAAAGAAAAAGATGTGTGCTCTGCATTTAACCCATCCAAGTGCACACACACAGCAGTGAGTAGTGAACAAACACGCGCACACCATGAACACACACCCAGAGCAGTGGGCAGCCAATGCTGCGGCACCCGGGGAGCAGTTGGGGGTTTGGTGCCTTGCTCAAGCTCAGTCATGGTATTGAGGGTGGAGAGAGCGCTCTGCCGAGTCATGAAGGTCAAATCAAGTCAAGTCTCAAGTCACTGGATCTCAAGTCCAAGTCAAGTCAAGTCATTTTCTTTATTTAGTCAAGCAAGTCACAAGTCCTTAAATTTGCGACTCGAGTCAGACTCGAGTCAAGTCATGTGACTCGAGTCCCCCACCTCTGGCGCTGGATATTCACTCCCCCCACCTACATTCCCTGCCAGACCTGAGACTTGAACCCGTGACCTTCGGGTTACAAGTCCAACTCTATCCATTAGGCCACGACTGCCAATGTAGTATTTGGTCATGCAGAATATATGTTAATATGTGTCCAATGTGTTCATAATAGGCATGCTAATAGGCAACTAGTTAATAGTGAGAATTGGTCCCTCTACTAAAGTGTTACCTAAAATACTAAGCCTAAACTTTACATTCACCTCAAAAACCCAATTCTGCTTCTTTCCCTAGTACAAACTCACAATACAGATCATGTAGAAGAAAAGCTTCACTTTGATTTGGACATCCATTGATTTGTAATCACAATTCAGAAACCTAATTTTAATCCCCAACTTGTATCCCAAATCTCCAATTCTATATCCTGACCCCAAAATCCTTCATTTAACCTGGATCCCAGCATTAAGCTATAACCCAGTGCCCAGTTTCCTACCCTAAATCTTTACCTTAACCATTATTCCTAAACCTCACCTGTACACCTAATCTTTTTCCTGTCTCTAATCTCCTTCATCTAATCTGAATCCCAACCTTTAGCCCAGGGTTGTCCAAATTCGGTTCTGGAGGGCCACTGTCCTGCAGAGTTTACACACTGCTTGGAAGTTTCTAGTATGCCTAAGACCTTGATTAGATTGTTCAGGTAAGTTTAAATTTGGTTGGAGCTAAACTCTGCAGGACGGTGGCCCTCCAGGAGCAGGATTGAACACCCCTGCTTTAGACCTATCCCAGCACCCAGTTTCTTAACATAAATCTTTATCTTAACCGTTATTCGTAAACCACACCTTTACACCTAATCTCCAACACAAGCCCTTCTCGTAGTTCAGTTTCCAACCCTGATCCCGATCCTATAGAGGTAAACCACACATTGATTTAGGCAGTCTGCGTCTGAATATTGTTTTGCATATGTTTCATTTGCATATTTTAGATGGTAATGAGCTACTGATTCTATTTTTACTTGAAAGAGCACCTGAGGGTTTTTGAAATCACCAGACTAAATAGTTGTTCTGAAAGCCAGGCCACTCTGTACACCCCTACATTCATCCGTTACATGATTTCATCATAGCAGCTGCTATACTGTGTTTCTGAAGTGCTTGTGGACTGGAGAACCCATTAGTACACCATCAACCTTTCTAACTGTCTTTCTTTGGTCTGTTTTTGTTCTTGTGTGTGTCCTCTCTCAAATGAAAAAGCTTCAAAAGCGAGAAAGGACGTGCAGGGCGTATATGAAGGTATATCTGTGCTACGCTACTATGCTCCTCACTTGTTTCTGTACTTTCTCTTCTTCTTTTCCTGCTATTGTTTCTCAGCATGGTCCCGTGTCCTTTCATTCTCACTGTCGCCACAGCATTTCACTCCGCCTGTGTCCTCATTCCCAGAGGTTCAATATTTCAGTGGATTGGAAATTGTGTGGCTGCAATTTTTATGCCCAGTTCATACCTTTTATGTGTTTGTTGGTGGTCTTTTTTTTCAGTTTCTTTATTGTTAAAGTCATGTGTTAATATCTGTTGATGTGTGCTTGAGTTGCAGGTTGGCGGTGCATGTTCTTATTGGTTGTAAAGAGTAGATGTCAATTTGTGGTGCTTGAAATTTATTGATTGCTACATTGGTTTTTCCACAACATTTTCAACTGCTAAAATAGTTACTTAGACCTAGCAAAAATGAAAAATTTAAGGAGAGATTATGCAGAGATCACATGAAAGGCAGGATTCTGTTTCGGAAAGGCAAATCAGTGTAAAATAAATCAGTGAATGTGAAACCCTAGACTGTGAAGATGCATATATCATCTTTTAATTTTTATTGGTGTGTAGGAGCAAAAAAACGATTTAGCATTGAGAGTAGTTAAAAATGACCATAAAAATGTAGGAAATTAGAGCTTGTAGGAGTCAGAGCTGCAAAACCAATCGGATGAACAATAATTATCAAAGGAGGCGACAAGTATGAATCTATATTTTAGTCTGGTGGGGTGTGTGTGTGTATGCGTGCGCAGAAGCTCTGATGAGTGTAAGCTTCCAAAAAAATTCCAAAATGTGCATTGCTAGAAATAGGATTTTAGAGTTAATCTCAAACGTAACATCCCTTTGTAGAAACCTACTGCATTTTTGAAAATTCTCTGACAGTGTTAACAGGTGGCTATTTGTTTAGTTTATTTCAATTTTGTGCATCATATAATCAAGACCTAGAGACGCCTTCAGTTCTGACGACACAGAACAATGGTGTCTTTATCTTTGCATTCTGAAGGCGTCATGACCGGCTGTCTTTCTTTACCTCATATGTGTCCGTTTACGTGCTTGAAGAGCCTTTGACATTCAATACTGCACTCTTGAGACAGACAGAGCATGTCGGGCTCATTTCTGCAGCCTGTTTTTATGTGTGTCACCTGATAACGACCTAAAACAAAGTGTGCATGTTTGCTTTCATTTGGGCACGGGCAAACAGCTGCTGATAAAGTCAAGGCTTTGACATTTGACCTTACTACAGTGCTTAGTGCTGACACAAGTGTCTCATTGGGCTGCAGGCTATCGTGGATACAGTCGACAACCTCCTCAGACCGGAGGCTCTGAAATCATGGCGAGATATGAAGACCACGGAGCAGACGCACGCCGCAACTATGTTACTGGACACCCTGGAGGAAGGAGCCTTTGTCCTTGCTGACAATTTAATGGAACCGGCCATCGTGAAAGTACCAGCCAGTAATATAAGTGAGTACGAGCGATAGAAGTGACAACATAAACAGCTTATTTTGCAGCTGATCAGTTTGAGTTTGCAAATATGCTTCAGCTGTGAAATTTTAATAACAGTGGCCACTAACACATGGCTGGTTGACATGAAATACTTTTTGGGAGTTGACATGTCCTGCAGCGTGGCACGCTAACTCCGTCTTATACTATTTTAAACAGCATTTTTCCTAATTCTTTTCTTACTGTTATGCATGTAGCTTTTACGACCTCATATTAATTGAGACTCTACATGGCATATTTCTACTCCATTAATTTGCCACACCGCAGGACCTTTTAAAAATGAAGTGAAGGCAAAAATGTGATTAAAAATAGTGAATAAAGACATTTTGACCAGTTCCAGGGACTAATATATATACTTTCCTGTATACACTTTTTATATTTTGCACACCGTTGATAATACAAAGTCCAAAAACCAATGAATCAACACTTGATTTTTGGCCTAACAGGTTATGGAGTGAACATCTGTGGCATATTCTCACATTGTTTTGTGCAAACATATCTCTTTTCTATGTAAATAAGGCTTATTATATATTGCTCCTTATTTCGAAAACTTATTTACAGGTGAAAAATTTAAATCATGACAGAAGATTGTTATATCCAGAGTTGTAGTGTAGACAAACGCACTTTTTAAAAAACTGCTAGTAAAGTAAGCCATATCGCTGTGGTCTGTTACATCCACTACAGCCTAGCAACTAAAACTTCAGAATAACGTTATGCAAATTGCGTTCGGCACAGATTTTGTGGGTGCGTTTTCACCGTTAACTGATTTGCATAATTCCTGTAGTGAACTGAACAACGCTAGATATGCATGCAAATAAACTGCAATTCATTCTCAGTGAATTCCCCCAATTATTTTTTTTTCTCTGTTTCCGCTTGGTGAACTAACATTGTGAAACATCTTATTTCTCTCCGCAGTTCTGGATGTTTACGTGCTGAGCACAGATGGGCAGGTTCAAGATTTCAGGTTTCCCCAGAGCGGCAGGAGTGGCATTTCTATCCAATTGTCTTCCAATATGGTGAAACTCAACAGTCGTAATGGTACGTTCCAGCCCACGTGCGAACTCACTCATATACGGTCATTAGTATCAATTCCAGTGAGAATAAGAACATATAAGATCCAATTGTTCCTGTCACTAAGGAGATAGAAATGCTCTCATGGTCAGAAGAAGATCTGAACATTGATGTGAACATACTGCTCAACATATGTTGTTTTCGACAAACATAACTGGGTCTGCTGCAGGGTCGCTTGGGAAAAAAAATCCATATACTGAAGTTAGAAACTTTTGTGTGGTATATACGTTTATTTATGGGATGATCATGTTTTCTGATGTACATGGGTGAATGTAAAATTAAGGATGATTAAAACTGTACTTATTTTAAGGGTATAGCGTTGCCATTTTGTTGTCACTTTGCAAAATCCTACTCTTAATAGACTTACTTTTAATTGTACAACATGTAAATTGATCTGTTCCTCTATTAACTATAAGGTGAAATCCAGACTTGTTCTTGACAGATGCACTGACATAATAGACTTTAATGAGAAGTAAGGTGTGCCGTTTTCTCTTCGCAGGTGTTGCCAAGTTGGTTTTTACCCTTTATAAGAACCTGGGGCAGTTTCTAAGCACAGAGAATGCGACGATGAAGCTCGGCCACGAGGCTAATGGACGCAACCTCTCCGTGGCTGTGAATTCTGACGTCATTGCCGCCTCAATAAACAAAGAATCCAGTCGTGTATTTATATCGGAGCCTGTGATTTTCACCCTGGAGCACATCGACGTGAGTGCAAGCAATAAACAAACAAAGAGATCGTAAAAGCAGCGGGATAGCAAAGCAAGACGGCGAAGAAAAGGAAATAAAAGCAGTCTCAATTCAAACACCCTACAAGGTCACAGAGGGGTTTAGTTAAGTCATCGAACATGAAATTAACAAAGTCTGAACCAATGATTATTACCAGCCTAGACCAAATTCTTAATGAAAACTAATTTGTTTGTCGACATTAGGATGTAAATGATGCAATTTCCTTTTTTCGGAGTGGAAAATTAACTCCCAGATTAGCTATACAATGCAGGATGAAATTACCAGAGGACCAATTATCATCTCGCTCTCTTTTAAAGTGTCAGGAGTGCTCCCAGAGGAGACCGGGCTTGATTTTTGCTCTCTATCAAAGTAATTGTGTGATTTCCACAGACATGCCTTCAAACCATTCTGCCCCCTGTTAGCACCTCATATAATCAATGGTCCCATGCTAGATTTCGCACTCATTTAACCTTATTAGATTCTTTAGTCGTTTATGTGAGAACACACACTGCGCATTCAAAAGAGTGTTTGATATGGCCAGCGTATCATTTGCGAAAGAATGAACGCCAACAGTCGGAGTGAATTAGGATGCCGTTCCCCCAACGTTCACTCGCAGGCGCCATTATCAGACGGACGGCTGCTAAATATCAATTCATTATCGTCTGCTAACTCATGAGGAATGTTTCTGTCTCCTCCTGTCGCTTCCAGATGCAACATTACTATAACTCCAACTGCTCTTTCTGGAACTACTCCGAGAGAACCATGATGGGATACTGGTCCACTCAGGGCTGCAAACTCATCCACGCCAATAAAAGTCACACCACCTGCTCCTGTAGTCATCTCACCAACTTTGCGGTGCTCATGGCTCATCGAGAGCTGCTGGTAAGATGCGATCTTCATAAATATTTAAGCTTTTGTCCATGCGTTACTGTGAAACCCAGCTGTTATAATAGACACCGCCAACACTCATCTGCTTCTCTAAGCCAAACGCTACCAACTGATAACTCACTGGATCGCAGACGGCTGCAAATCAGCCTGTTTTAGAGTTTGTCTACTTGTGATATTAGCTAAAGTTTCTTTAAGCAAAAACCGAATAAATGTTTAAAGCCCAACTTTCTGTGCCACCAGTGGGAAAAACATAAACACATAATGCCGAGTTCACACTGCACGATTTTAGCCCGCAAGAACCTGTGCATAAACCTTTTCATCGCTGAGCTCATCTTCCTCATCGGAATCGACATGACGGAGCCCAGGGTAACGTTACCTTGAATGGATGTGATGTTTTCAGCGAGTCTCATGGAAATGTCTATAGACGTGTCCACAACATCCAAGACACATTTTTGAAGGGAGTTCCAGCGAATTCCAGCAGCATTTTGACACATGATTATAGTTTTTCAGGCTTACTGGATTTTTGCGAGTCAATAACTTGACACTTTTTGTCCTGAATTTATTTGAAGTAATGCATTTCAAATGAACGTGTAATCATTTTTTTTTTAACATTTTTTAACTTAAAAATGCGATCATTATATTACTGAAAATCTTGGGGAAAAATGGTCTCAATTTTTTGACTACTACTAATATGAAGGCCCGGAAAGGCTCTATACTTTTTGCTGGATCATGGCTGTGGGGAGCTCATCTTCCTCATCGGAATCGACATGACGGAGCCCAGGGTAACGTTACCTTGAATGGATGTGATGTTTTCAGCGAGTCTCATGGAAATGTCTATAGACGTGTCCACAACATCCAAGACACATTTTTGAAGGGAGTTCCAGCGAATTCCAGCAGCATTTTGACACTACACAGAAATGTAAATTGTTATCATCATTTACTTACCCTCATGTTGTTCCAGATTTGTATGAATTTCTTTCTTCTGTTGAACACAGAAGAGATATTTTGAAGACTGTTGGGAACAAAACAGTTCTTACATTCAGTACTATGGAAGCAAATGTGACCCTGGAGCACAAAACCAGACTTAAGTCGCACAGGGATATTTGTAGCAATAGCCAAAAATACATTGTATGGGTCAAAATTATTGATTTTTCTTTTATGCCAAAAATCATTAGGATATTAAGTGAAAATCATGTTCCATGAATATATTTTGTAAATCTCCTACTGTAAATATATTAAAACGTAATTTTTGATTAGTAATATGCATTGCTAAGAACTTCATTTGGACAACTTTAAAGGCGATTTTCTCAATGTTTAGATTTGTTTTGCACTCTCAGATTCCAGATTTTCAAATAATTGTATCTCGGCCAAATATTGTCCTATTCTAACAAACCATACATCAATGGAAAGCTTATTTGTTCAACTTTCAGATGATGTATAAATCTCAATTTCGAAAAAAAACCCTTATCCAGGTTCAGGGTCACAAATGGCAGTAACTGTTTGGTTACCCATATTCTTCAAAATATCATATTTTGTGTTCAGTGGAAGAAAGAAATTCATACAGGTTTGGAACAACATGAGGGTGAGAATATGATGATAAACTGTTTATTTTTGGGTGATCTATCCTTTTAAATGATATGAAATGAAGAGGTATCAAGTGACACCAATAAATATTGCTCATGTCATTCACTTCACCTCAATTTCTAACACAACAAGAAGCAGTTAAAAGAGAATCTCGCTTGGTAGTTGATCAGCCCTCCGATTTTCACCCGGTGGGCCAATGTTTTATCTAGAAAGTGTGTGCAAGCACCATTTGTTAAAGAACATGTTTCTGTAAAACGCTTGTTTTTGTCTAAAGTAATAGAATGGCTTAGACATGTTTTCTATAAGCTGCCATGTTGCATTTCTTTTATTGTGAATATGTTGTCTTTGCAGATGTTGGCTCAGGATGGACAATCACTTCATCTGGAGTTTCATCGGACCCGTCACCTTCATTATTATGGTGCGTTCAGTATCTACTGACCTTCACATGGCTTAAGATTGTATATGGCATGAACATGAGCGTGTGTGAATGAGTGCTGAATACATGCATCAGGTGAAAGAACAGAACAAGACTGTGTCTCAGAGTTTAAAATGTAACTGACAACATCCGCCCGTGCAAAAACATTGAGCTGCCTTTGTTTCTTCAGTCTTGTTCAACAGATTGCAGCCCATCGATTTCTGCTTAGATCGGTTCAGTCTCGGCAGACCCAGTCAATGCAGCCTGCGGAGAGGTTCGGAAATGCTGCTCTAAAGGCTTTTTTTCTTTCTCGGGGATCGTTTTGATACGATGCGGCTTTTTCAATGTGGCATTAGAGCACAACATTATCCTCAAATGATACTCAGCAGGGCGCTTTCAAGCTACGGGGTCGAGACAGCCCCTCGAGATGCGGATAGAAGAAACGGCAATGTCAAATAATACAAATCAAAAACGTATATTGTCATGGTTCAACCTTTTAAGGAGGTAGCTGATGACACTACAGAGTTTGTTTGCCGTGAGATGCCGGTAATAAGGCATGCCGGATTGACACAGCTGCAGTTTAAACATGCTGTTATTTGCGAATAAGAGATTAGAGCCTCGGACTAGATTGGGGAGGTTAAGAGGAAGTAGGCCTGATAGAGACAAAGATAGAGAGAGTCTGCGTGGTGGAAAGACTAGCAGGTGGTATTCACATCTGTCTGGCTGTTTGTTTGCCCTCTAATCTCTGGATGAAAAAACAAATCGTCTTCTTGAAAATGGAAGGACATGTAGAGATGTCTGTGGAGGGTTGACTTTATTATATCCTTTATGGTTATGTAAACAGACCAGGTGATCTTCCTGCCGGGGTGAACAGTGATGGAAGCTCTGTTTATTTAGGTTTTAGTTAAAAAAACAGATTTAAAGACACACAGATGGTTCAAACACTGGTTTGTGGTGCAATAAAATATAGAAGGTAATTAGAGAAGTGGCCTGAAACAATTGTAGAGGAGCAGCCTGAAACATTTACATGTGCTTTTAGTAATGAAATGCTATAAAGTGATCCAGCGTTATTTAAATAATACAAAAACTATTAAACATTTCTATTAATGGAATCCGTCACATAACCATAGAGCAAAGACATATCCAAAATCGTAAATTTCAGACTCTTTTAAAATGTAATTATTCACGTGAACATTGAAATTTAGCAGTCGACTAAGGCTAATATATACAAATTAGTGTAACATTTACAACGAAATTTACTTGACAACAGAAAATGTGATTTGCTGTGACTGTAGATATTTAATTATCATTTTATCAACATTTTTATTGCCATTTAACCTTGACTAGTTAGTTATTCGATGTATGCTCTCGTCATAAAAGCAGAATGCGCAATATTGTTCAATTAGTTGAAGCCCATTGTGGTTCTCATTATTCTACATCTATTTTCAGCGTCCTCATGCCCGATGCTGCAGCGATGTAGAGCTCCATGAATTTCACAGCTAATCTAGTTCCTTTTTCCACCAATAGGGTCCCTGAGTCTTATATGCAAGCGTTTTCCACCATTTTCCACCACAGAAAAGTCAATTCTGAGCCATAAACATCAGTTTGATATTTGCTGTCAATGCCATCTGGTCTCAAACAACATGTCTATTTCAACCAGGAATACTACATTCAACCCAAGTTCACTGGAAATACGTATCTGTGTCAGCATTTCTGCCAAATATTAGGCTGTTGCTTGTGCGTTTCGTGACACATTCAAACTGAAACGTCCAATGAGTGGCGCTAAAAATGTATTTAGTTTTAATCTGCTGTAAAACAAATGAGTGTGCATATGGCAACATTTTATTCTAATTAATTTTATTAGATTTTTTTATGCATTTCAGAAATGTAATGTCCAGTGAGTGGTGCTAAAAATCTTAAACCCTACCCTAAACCTAACCAATAGTGTTAATACAAGCAAATGCGAGATAAAAAAATTAATTTTAGTTCATTTTTCAAGCCTTTGAGTTATTTTATCGTGACTCGTGTTGCACTCGCATCCACTCGGGCTCAGCATTCGCAACAAATTGACCCTTCGCAGGGAGTTTGATTGGCAGGCAGTCTGACTAATCGTAACGCCGAATCTGCCAGTGTTGTCCGACAAACAAAACAGACCAGAGAGTAGATTAACGATGGTGGACTTGAACTTGAAAGATACCTTCTGATGTTCATTCATGTTTATTTCATGCTATAACTAGTAAAGAGGAAGAGATGGTCGGTTCATGTGCCGCTTGAACTGAGGCACTACAGTGATCTGTCATGACACATTAAAGAGCCACAAAAAGGTATTAATTGTTTGAATTGCTTAAAAAATGACAAGTCTTTGTTTCATACCAGAAGTAACCTGCTCTGTCTTGTCTGTCGGCATGTTGTCAGTTTTCTCAATGTATTTTTCACTGCGTGAGAACATGATGTGTGGCGTGAGAGTGCCATGGCTTGTCGTTGTGGGACATAGCAACAATAACTAAGGGGGGCAGGTCTTTGCGAAGGGTCAGTTGTACCAGGTGAGCTACCAAGCAAGTTTACTACATTAGAAAAGCTAAGGAGCTGGTGATGTGATGGAAGTGTCAAAATATATTACTTCACAAATCACGTGCTAGGGTAAAAGCATTTTGAACAAAACATTGTTTTTCTGTTTGTTTTTTTTTTTTCTAAAATAATTTAATTTACAATTATAGTATGTTTGAATTAACTGCTATATATATATATAATTTTTTTTTTTTTTTTAACGACCATTGCATCAAAAGTAGCTTGCGATGCAATAAATCTCCAAGTAAGACTAAGGCCCCGTCCACACGGAGTTTAACTGTATACGCATACATTTTGTATTGTATAGGCTTTTTTTTTTTGTAAACAGGTCATAAAGTAATATAGTTTGTAACATCATCATATGGCTCTCAAGTCAGTGAAAACTTGGTGGAAAATGCAGGCACTGATACTGAGAGAAGTTCGCACATTCACCAGCCAAACACTGGCTCAGGCAGGACAGCCACCACTGGGTTTTGGTGGAAAAGATGTTTCTCAGCTCTGGGGCACCAGGCATATAAGATCCATGAAAACCAGGACACTGAGCTAATGAGCGGTCGGGAACCATTAGTGCGTGTGAGTGACGTTAAAACACACGCTTTGACTGTGACAAGTTTGCATCATGCAGACAGTTCCATCTGCACCTTAAATATTTAATCAGGTTCAATCGGAGTTCAAGACGCACACACACAAATACGAACACACGCATACAGCTTTCTCCAGCGTCCCAGAGTGGAGTTGAGGGTCTTCTGCTTGGCTAGCGGTGATGATTCAGGGACGGGGGGGTTTGTTCAGGAAAAGCTCTTTTCGAAGCGGAGGAAGCCTATGGGACGGGCAGGAACAAGGAGCTTTAGGAGTGTAGTGGCTGCTTTGCTAGGTTACCACTCCCTCTGCTGAGCGTCCTTACTTCCTCTCGTCTCATCAGATCACTGTCAGTGCTCTGGCGGCGTGAGAGGCCTTTTATAGCTCTGTGCTCATAAATTCGGGCGCAGGGGCCGCGAAAACCAGGCATAACCCCGCTACCCCTCCCCTCTCTCTCTCTCTCTCTCTCCGTGATGTCTCTGAGAAACCGTGGCACTTGATTGCATGAGCGGCACGTTATTGATCGCCATCGCTGTTTTGATGGCAGAATGATGAGCTTGTGCGCCCGAACAAGGAGCCGAACTGAAGAGCTTGTTTGAGCTGGTGACACCGCCACTTACGAGAGCGGCCGCAAATGATAGACTGCTACGTCCTCGCCTGTCTGTGCTCCAGAAAATGGATTAGACCAGAAAATGTTCCGTCACCACGTAGTCGTCCCACATAGTTGTAGCTATTGGGAAGTCATTTTACACAGTACGTGATAAAGTATGACCAATGCATTACTTTAGGTTGTTACAAGGTCCCTCTCGCTGTCTGTGTGTGTGTGTGTCTTCGAAGTCCATGTATGTTTTTTAACATTGCAAATGAAACAGATGTGAAGGATATTGATTGCTTTTACTGTAAATTATTGGACAAAATTTAAAAGCACTGAATATTTTAGTTTTGTAGATAAAATATACTGGACACTCTTAAACAGACTTTTTTTTCACTGAGCAAAAATCACTTTATAGTAATATTATAATCAAATGTGTTAACTAACTTAATATCTAAAGGCAGCTTCAATAACATGATTATCTAAGAAAATAAATTTGGTAAGAATGAACAGGAATGTGTTTAAAGCAAGTACACTTACAGTTCAAGCCTAAAGAGCAATTGTTAATCAACATTATGCTGCTATCATATTTACGAGCAAAAAAAATTAAAATAATTTCAGTTTGCTACTTTTTGCATTTGTGTCAAATGCATAGCTTTCAAAAGTGTTTTGACTGTTCTAATGAAACAGATCCATGAAAGATTATTTGCTTACCTAAATAATCGGATGGAATTTGAAATCATTATTTTTCTTTTTATATATCTAACATTCTGAAGACTTTTGAAATTTTTGATAATTGCCCTTACATTGAGCAAAGCATATTTACTCTAGGTTGTTTGCTATTTAAATATAATTTAATTGCTATTTAAAAATAATATTTATTAACTAATTGAATATCTGGGGATTTAAAGTAACATTTTAATATATTTTATTAAATAACCTAATATTTACGGATAATATCTGTGGCATTTTGTTGATAGCCACAGAAAATAAATTTGACTGTAAATAAAATACATTTTGTCCCTAGGTTTGTTAAACAAACAAAAATATGTTTACAGTAAATGCACCATGCAATCAGTCAAAATAATAAACACACGAGTCCCATGTGTAATATTATGATTTACTTAGTGTGATAGTTTGGTGGTAGTGGATTTTATATGTTTATTTGCAGTGCTGAATGATTGCCTGCTAAAATTCCACTGTGAGTGGAACACTGTAAATATGCATTTTCTGTTCATTTTCACAGACTGAGAAATGAACAGCTTTCCCTCTGATGTTTTGCCACAAATGCCATCCGTAGATGTTTGTATATGAAATAACCCGGAATATTCCTTAAAGTTTTTTTTGTTTTTTTTTCTTCCCTGAGGAAATCTCAAATATCCATTTCTCCATGTGTGGTCTCTGAGCTTCTCTGAACTATTTGTGTTTTCATTCTGCAATTAAACGGTTTTATTGCTTTTTTGTATTCTTGTGTTGATATATAGTAACACTGTATTCGGCGCCAGTCATCTTGGCTTTGTCTCGCAATATGCCAGATGGTTATTGTATTAGGCACTGGCTAAAGGGATGCTTAGATGGCTGTTTTCAATTAATGCTCCCAATAAATCTTCACTTATCTAATCTTTTAAGTTTCGTTTTTGTTTATTAACAAAGGTCTTTTGCTTTCGCACAGCTCAATCTCATCTTCCTGCTCATCACGATGTACAAAATGATGAAACACTCTACATCGCTGAAACCTGATTCCAGCCGGCTGGAGCACATCAAGTAAGTCACATTATGTTCCCCATGATATTTCAGCTCATGTGGAGTCGAAGTGTGCCGCCACACATTCCTAATCTAACATTTAGAACAGGAACAGACATTGCTTTCTTGGTTACATTGTATGTAGCATCTACAAAAGTGTTGTTTGTTGCTTGGATGAATTTAAGTGCGTCGACTGAAGGGATTCAGATGGACTCCAGACAGATGTTATTCTCTTCAGGTGCACGTCGTCTATTAATGTGAGCGATGGCCAGAGAGGCACGTAATGATTGAGACAGGCTCTGCGCTGTTCCTCCTTTACAGTGACCACAAAACTCTTTTCTGGAACAACTCCCCGTATTCAGAGTCTGCCTGGAGAGTGAATTCAGATGTGTGTGTGTGTGTGTGTGTGTGTGTGTGTGTGTGTGTAAAGACAGCGCAGTCAAAGCACTTCCATGTGTTTCCTGTTGCGAAGAGGGAGATCTCTTTCTGTAGCGGAAAAGTACAAAAAAAAAATGTGCTGGTTGACCACACAACTCTTTTGTTTTGTTTTTTGTTTTCTTTTTTTATTTCTGCTGGCATGGCAATGCATGTCTTACTGGTTATATTTGATAGTGTATGACATTTTTTTAATGTTTTGAAATTGTGATTTTTTTTTTTTATGTTGTTTTTAGTCTTTTTTTCCAATGTGTTTCCAGTGATTATGGTACTTTCCATGAATAAGTCTGCAAAGCATTAAAATACATTAAACATTGAAATAAATTAAAATGTCTTTATCCCCTTTACACTGTTAAGATGTTTGTTAGATTTTGAATGAATGAATCAATGAATAATAATAATAATAATAATAATAATAGGTTTTTCATATTTTGCACATGCACCCTGTTATCTCAAGGTTTCCTTATATTACAAAAATGTAAGGTTCTTTGAAAATTTCTTAGGCATGAAGTGAATATTTGTGCCTTTTCTACTGCATGAAAGGAAGACATTTTTTTGCACTGAAAAAAATAATAATGCAGTGTTGACTGCATTGTAAGATAATATGATATTAGATTTGTTTTTACACTTTAAACTAAGATCTCATTGCATGCATTATCTAACATAAATTAATGAGTCATTTTTTAAGCATGTATTAAACAATGTTATTGTTAGTTATTAGAAATATGATTGTTCATCGTTTGTTCATGTTAGTGCACAGTGCAGTGCATTTGGTAACAAATATCAAATATAAATTTTTATTTTACATTGACTATGTTTAAGAAATGCTGTAGACGTTGTTCATTGTTAGTTCATGTTAAAATGTTCACAAATGAGAATTTAAAACTTTAGCCAAGTACCAAATTTTGGTCACAACCCTTGGACCCTGTTCATGGAAAGAGCCTTTATATGTTTTGGATTTGATATATGACACAGATTGCATTTAATGTGATCTTTCAAACTTAACACACAGCCATTGGGGAAATATGCATATTTTATTAGATTTAACAATGATATAGACATGAATAACACGCTTGAAAAATATGTTGCTCACAGGCATTGTGTCAGCCGTATGTTGTCTGAATTTCTCTCCACCCATCACCACAGGGCAAGATGAATCAATCCTCTAAACTCTAGGCTCATTGCAGCATGTTGCATGTTCAGCAAGCTAATCTGCAGCGTTTCGTTTCATTTCTCTGTTTCCCATTCCCCCTTGTTTTCTCTCTCTCCTTTCTTTCTCTTTCTGTCCTCTCTCTGTTCTCTTACCCAAACCAGTAATTATCGCGTCTGTGATGGCTATTATAATTCTGATTTGCCTGGGTAAGATTCACCGTACACCGTAACTTATGTCGCTCATAAAACATTACTGCCGCATTAAATAGTGTAAAACGGCAAAGTACTGGCACATTTGGCCTGAGAGAACCATCTTTAGGCTCTTTAGAATCCGGCATAAGGCAAAGCAGCGTGGGAAAATTAAACTGTCTATGTAAAAAAAAAAGAGAAGAAAATTTACAGTGGCGGTAAAGTTTTATGAAAAGTCTTGTCATGTAATCATCAAGTGTGTTAAAGACAACATGAAATTAACCCTATTTACTTTCTTATATGTGTGTGTGTGTGTGTGTGTGTGTGTGTGAAACTATGTATACAGTGTGTGTGTGTATATATATATATATATATTGACTATATAAAACCTTGTACTCGGGTTCAAAGCTTCCATTAAGAATTCATTTTCATTTCAATTTTCACCTAAATTAAACTGCTTTGTGATGCAAGACAGCCAATGGGAAGTTATTTGGTGTTTTATATATATAGCTTTATGAAGCTGGATTATTTTTATATTTATTTATAGATATTACAGAAGATATTTTAGAGAGAATATCAAGATATACAGTGGGTACGGAAAGTATTCAGACCCCCTTAAATTGTTGTCTTTAAGATATATTGCAGCCATTTGCTAAAATCATTTAAGTTAATAAACCTTGTACTCGGGTTCAAAGCTTCCATTAAGAATTCATTTTCATTTCAATTTTCACCTAAATTAAACTGCTTTGTGATGCAAGACAGCCAATGGGAAGTTATTTGGTGTTTTATATATATAGCTTTATGAAGCTGGATTATTTTTATATTTATTTATAGATATTACAGAAGATATTTTAGAGAGAATATCAAGATATACAGTACACATTGAAAAACAGAAGATATATGTTTCATGTTGTCTTTAAGAATTCATAACCTGGGCAGCTACATCTATCCAGGAAATTTTTGTCTTGTCACAGCTGAGGACAAAATCTACCTTTTTCTGTCCAGCTTTATTTGATTTTTAACTTCAGAATTCTTACATTTGGACTTCAATGCTAATCCAACTGATTTGCCTGATCTAATGTTGTCTCTCTCCTCTGCTGGCCATGCTCTGTAGCTATGAAGATAATAAACCATTTATCAAGTAAGAGCGTTAGCTAGACATCTGTGCCACAGCCTCATGGTTGCTCCCCTTGTCATCTTATTGTCTGTTTGCTGGGCTCTTCCAGAAGCGCTGTGCTGCTCATGCGCGCTGTCTGTCTGTCTATGGCTTAACTGGTTTTTACATTTTTATTCCGCCTGGACCATTGCTGTATCTTAACTTCATACCCTCATATCCTTAAATCCTACAAACCCAAAACCCTTTCCACCCTCCTTCCCCTCACCCTTCATGTTATCCCTACCCTGTCATCCTACCCTCGAACTCTCAGACCTCCTCACACTTCATATGGCAAACCTCCTAATATATTCCTACTGTTATAACCTTCAGATGCCAAAACGTATATTCCCTTCATTTTCTCTCAGAAAAACTGTCATGCCCTCATTTACGACATACTGTACATGGGTATGTGATATATCAGTGGGTATTTATTTATTTACTTACAGTCCATATTGTACTGTATATGTTGGCCAGTATTGCATATTTAACTGCGCATGCTGATTTCCACATATGTTTTATTAAATGATAATCGTTTAGATTAACTTTACTCTCATATCACTGAATGAAAGTAAATCTTTAAACACAAACGATTGAACAACACTGTTAAACTGTTATACATAATCTTCAGCAGATCTCAAAATACAATTCTATCTTTTATACAACCCATTATAATTAGTGCTAGCAAACGATTAATCGCGATTAATCGCATCCAAAATAAAAGTTTTTGTTTATGTAATATATGTGTGTGTGCTGTGTATATTTATTATGTATATATACATACACTCACATGCATGTATATATTTAAGAAAAATATGTCATATTGGTATATTAAATATATTTATATATAAAATAAATTATATAAATATATGCATGTAAATATTTTCAAAATATATACTGTATGTGTGTGTATTTATATATACATAATAAATATGCACAGTATGCACACATATATTACATAAACAAAAACTTGTATTTTGGATGTGATTAATCGCGATTAATCGTTTGATAGCACTAATTATAATAGTATGTCAAAATTGACTGTTGCATTTAAAACTAGTTAATAGTTGCTATTATATAGTATTACTTAATACATTATTTGCAGGATTTTATTTATTTATTTATTTATTTATTGAAACTATATATTTTAACATTATATTAAATAATCATTGGCATGTCTGTATTGGAAGTAATTTTTATATTAATGCATACCATATATGCAAATCCATCTTGTATACTGTGCTTTTCAATGGTATGCCAAAAAAGGTATTATTTAGCTATTTTCAGATAGTTTCTATTTTATAAATGAATCAAAGTGTGTTACATATATATTTAGCTATGTATTTATTTTTAGACACAACAGTATTTTAATGTTAGCCATTTATCAGTTATGTGCCGTAAGATGAAAAATATCAATTTTAATATCAATGCATCCTCAGCTCCATCCATTAACGCCCCTCATTTATAGCTCTCAGTGCACTCTTATATTGTATCTCAGAAAATCTTTATACCCCAAAGCCCTCCTATTCCTCCTGCCTTCAAATCCTCATATGTTGGTTTCTTGTTTCATCTCTCATCTCTCCTCTGATGAAAGCAAGCTCTATCTCTTTGGTTCCTTAGCCAGCCGAGACCTGTTGTCAGCGCCTCCTCCACTAAAACGGACCAATCGGAGATGATTACTGCTCTTTCTCTTTCCCCTCCGTCTGAATGCAGCCCAGTATCATGCGTCTTTACCCAGTAGTGTGGCATGCACAAATATCTCCACTGCCTCAATACTGATTAAACCTTCTTTACGATAATCCCGCTTTCATATGGGATTGATTAACCTCTCAATGATACGTTCCACTGCATTTCCCATCTACTTGTGCCTAAGATGTCAGTCCAAATGATTTTCAGAACCTGTGTTTGATTTGCTGAGACTGTAATGCCGTAATGATTTCTGCAGGAAATGTCCCTCTCTCATGCCTCATTGTTTCTGTTTCATTTGCTCTCGAAGGTCGTGGGTCATGGGCAGCTTTGCTCTGCTGTGTCTCTTGGGCCTGACCTGGTCATTTGGGTTGTTCTTTATCAGCGAGTCGTCCGTTGTCTTGGCGTACCTCTTCACCATCTTCAACACTTTCCAGGGCATGTTTATCTTCACCTTCCACTGCCTGCTTCAGAAGAAAGTAAGTGCTTCCTGAAATCTATTGTTCCACCCGAGCTGCGGCAGCACTGGATTTGAACGAGAAGCGCACGTTAAAAAGTTGACTTGTTTCTTTGAACTGCAGGTTCGGAGAGAGTACAGCAAATGCCTCCGACACACGTACTGCTGTAGCGGGATCACGACAGAGAGCTCACACAACTCCACAAAGACCTCAACAACACGGACAAGCGCTCGCTATTCCTCTGGTACTCAGGTACAAACACTACTGGCCCAATTTCCATTGTTTTCATTCCGACGGCTTTGAATGCGACGTTCGGTTATGAGACACATTTCATATTGGAATGAAATGAAACTCTGTGAGTGCTTCCATCTGCTCCAGTACACACACACACACACACAGAGATCTTTTATCTATGTGTTTTCTTGTTTTTCGCAGACAGATTTTATTTGAACGTCTTTATGATGGATTGCATTATATTCTAGTGAATCATAGCAATAGCTGTGTATACTATGCAATGTTTAGATAGGGCTCTGGTATACTATAATATTTACTTGATAAACCGCATTATGATATCCAATGTAGCATTTATGTTGAATACTGTAAAATCTCTGGGGTAAATAGTTTTCATACTGATTTATAGTTGTAATGTGAAAATAATGAGTGGGGAGTATTTTGTTTAACAACAACAAAAACGTCCCAAACAAATAAAATTGATTATGTATGGGGAAAGATGCCCCAGTGTGCATTTACATAAAAATTATAACCCAGAGAAAAGTTGAGCATACACAGGGTACATGATGGTGATGAATCATCCAGTATGTTGTCACATAAGTGGAAAACACAAAACGTTATATGTATTTAATATCATTTTTAACTATTTATTTTCTTAAAAGTGTTATGAATGTACAACATTAAGTCAAATATTCTATGTAAAAAATCATATACTGTAACAGTATTACTGTTACAGTAATACTGTAACAGTATTACTGTAAAACTTGTGAATTACACTATATAATTGTAGGTATTATTTACTGCCTACTGTACATTTTTACTATTTAACTTAACTATCATTTTAAATAGATTTCAGATCTTTCACTCCATTTCATGTTAAAAAATCACCTAAAAAACTTACAATAAATAATTAATAAATGTTAATATGTAAAATAATAAAACACAAGAGAGAGAAAAAAGGATCCTCAAAGATTTAACTTTACATTTTCACATAAAAAAAAAACTGTCCATAAATTCCCAATTAACAATAAACATGAAGCTTTTAATATCCAACATAGCATAAACTGTGACTATGGTATATATTACCCTACTATATGTATGTATGTTTGTATGAATGAATGAATTAAAAAAATTTGAAACATTTGGCAAAAATACTTTTCAAAATATCAAGAAATTATTGCAACTCTTCATCAAACTTTTAATGGAACCTGTGGTTAATGAACAACACATGAGGTTACTCTTAAGTCATTGGAAAGGCTCAGAAAAGTGAAGTTAGTTCTGATAAAAGCTATCATTTGTTTCTAGATGCCACTTGCTTTTGTTATAAAACTATGAATGTCATTGCATCAGATACGTACGACTGAAGTGTCCAAAAGCATCCATTTTTTTTTGCACTGTACATATCAGAAAAAGATGTAACATGCCATTTTTCCCTCCCAAAGATAGTGACCAGTGTTTCATGGCTGTTTGTTCATCTAACAGAGTCGAATCAGAAGAATGTGGAACGACACAGTCAGAAAACAGTCGGAGTCCTCTTTCATCTCAGGAGACATCAACAGCACATCAACCCTCAACCAAGGTCAGTCATACATCCAAACTCACTTTTCTCTGAAATACTAGACTCAGACATAGTGATGCTCTTTAATCAGTCATCCATGTTTAATTAAATGTTAAGTATTTAATTGACCTCATATTCAATCAATTTTCTTTAATAGCCAATGATTTTAAAAGCTCTGCTCTAATGGACTCACCATTTTCATTTGAATGAAATACCAAATTAATTTTTATTTTAAACATTTCAACAATTCTAACATGTATTTTAAGCTCATTAGGCCTGCTTTAGAAAGCAAATTTTATTTTTCAAGTATATTTCAAATATATTTATTAAAAACATGTTTTTCATTTGCAACTTATCAGCTTATGAAAAGCATGATTACCGGTAAACATGCACGAGTACCAATTTTAAACCACTCAGATGTGATTTTAGTTCAAGTCAACATGAAACAGCACTTGCAACCCTTTTACTAATGTGATGTGACATATTTGTCAGCTAGTAAATGAATTAGATCGTGAAAAGTGGTCTCTGTATGACAGATGTTTGGAAGGGAGGGGTGAAAAATAAGGATTGGTATCATCAGCCAAAAAGAAAAGTCGTTTCAGAGGCGAAGCAAGTCATTACATTTTGATGAAAGATTATGATGCAAAAAAAAAAAAAAAAAAAAAAATGTATTTGGAATAACATGGACTGATGATACAGTAACATCAGGAAATGTATTGAGAAAGTAAATAGGGTCAACTTTGATTTCATGTTGACTTTAATGGAAAACCAAACGTTTAATGTCCATTTAAAGACACAGGAAGCCAGACAAACTTCTTTTGGGTCCTTTTTACACAGCTACAGTAGTGAGTCAGTAGAAAATATGCCCTCAGTCAGCTATTTCAAGGATCTAGAAAAAAAAAAAAAACTGTCATTTATTATTTAGCCAGGGCTGAAATGCATGTGATGAGAAGATGATGTTCAACTCTAGCTGACCTGCGGTAAGGTTGTATTATTCAGAGCCGTTTGCTTTGGCTTGCTCTAAAACACTCAGCATGCTTTTAATGCATGCGTTCGAGCACAAAACACAAAGGTGCAAAAAAAAAAAAAAATGCTATTTGTCTTTCTGTGCTTCAGTGTCTCTGTTCAGAAACAATAACAAAAATGACTGGTTTTGTTTACAATATTTATATCACAACATTGTGCAAATAAAAATAATATGGACCAAAAAAGGGGTTTATAATTTTAAGATATATATATATATATACTGTATATTTATATATAATATATATATTATTTTTTTATTTTTTTAATCTGAGATCTTGAATTAGTAAGAAGCTGTGCCCAGTATGGTAGTAGTTTTTTCTTTTCCCCCATTGACAAATATTCATCCTTTTATTTTGTACGTAGGATATCACTGGCAAATATCCTTAACATTTAAAATTGGTTATTTGCATTTATTGACATTAATTTGATTTAATATTAGCAAGTAGATTACAATGAAATTACATAAATATGCAGCTAGATAATTCATAGATCCATTTATTTCATTACTACTATAAGATTAGGTCATAATCTTATTTGTCCTCTTGTTTTTTTTTTTTTTGTTGCTTCAGGAATGACGGGCAATTATCTTCTTACTAACCCTCTTCTGAGACCACAAGGCACTAATAACCCCTACAACACCTTACTGGCTGAAACTATCGTATGTAACACACCAACGGTGCCAGTCTTTCACTCTCCAGGTGTGACTACTAATCCACTACGCTCCTGTTTGCCCTTCTGCTCATGTGGTACTGTGTAGTGCTATGAGTATTGTCAGAGCACTAGGCAGTATCAGTATCTGTGCGGAGAAATCACACCGATAGATCAGATGCATTCGGCTAAAACTGTAGTTCTCGGTGTGTGATTTTATAGCACAGAGTAAAGCAATTTTTCTTCACTATGAGATCATTGTGACGCTCACAAGATCTTTTTTTTTATGCACAAATGTTTTATTTATTTTTTATTGAATATTTATGTTTACGTAAATGTAATTCAGCTTTTTTGTTTATTTTATTACTATTATTTATTGTCTTTATTTTTTGTGAGTGACATGACACTGTTAACTGTTTGTGTCTTGTTTTCTCTTTCCCCTTCCTGCACACACTCAGTGACCTACAGAGAGACAAGTATGCAATCAGTTTTAAATTTGCCCATCAAATGTAATTGTTTTACCATGATTTAACTCTATGGCCATCAACAGACCATCCACATACTGTCAGCACATGGTTCAAAAATCATTAGAATGAGGAAATGTTGCTCTAAATGAAACAATACTTTCATCACCTCTGCATTTTACAACTTGGCACGATGCATGCACATCGCACACACAATTGAGATTTCTTAGTCTAAATGTACACATGTCATTCTGAATGGAGATTGTACTGAAAGCAGCCGCCTTCTCTCTTTGTTAAACACAGTTTCGTTGGACATTGGGTTGGATTTATCCAAATACTTTCTTCTCCGTTCAAAGTCGAATGGCTACAGATGTTGAAGCCAGTCTCATCAATATGAAAAGCATTTAGTTTGTAGTTAACATTTGCTTCTACTGTTGCTCATCCAGTCATGAAACTGAGATTCCGATGTTTTATGAAAATTAAATTCACAACTTTTTCACAAAAACAAGTTTTACTGTAGCATTTATTTATTTGTTTGTTTGTTATTATTTTTTATTTTTTTTGCCAAGTTATGAATTTCATTTTCATAAAACATGGATGTATGATGTCTGAACCCCTCGAGTTTACACAGGTGTCCTTGCAAAATATCGACAGGTGTAGTTCACCACATTAGCTATAGACATGTTCCACTTAAACCGGAGAGTGTCCAAATACTTTTGTTATAATTTTTGTAATTTAAGTTATAGTCTTATTATTTTACACATTTTTTTTTGTATGTTTTGTGTAACTTTTTTTTCTGTAAACTAATCTATTTTGACGTGTTGTTAAATAATGCAAGTAATTAATTTAAAGTATCCAGATGTTATGGAATTATGAAAATTAAATTCACAACTTTTTCACAAAAACAAGTTTTACTGTAGCATTTATTTATTTGTTTGTTTGTTATTATTTTTTATTTTTTTTGCCAAGTTATGAATTTCATTTTCATAAAACATGGATGTATGATGTCTGAACCCCTCGAGTTTACACAGGTGTCCTTGCAAAATATCGACAGGTGTAGTTCACCACATTAGCTATAGACATGTTCCACTTAAACCGGAGAGTGTCCAAATACTTTTGTTATAATTTTTGTAATTTAAGTTATAGTCTTATTATTTTACAAATTTTTTTTTAATGTTTTGTGTAACTTTTTTTTCTGTAAACTAATCTATTTTGACGTGTTGTTAAATAATGCAAGTAATTAATTTAAAGTATCCAGATGTTATGGAAGCTTGTTTCCAACAAACCAACATATAAAGATAATTGTGACTTTTTATCTCACAATTCTGATTATTTTTATTTTTTTGTAATTGTAATTGTATCTCAGAATTGAGTGATATAAACTCGCAACTGGTGTTAAAAAGTCACAATTGCAATTTTATGTCTCACGATTCTGACTTTATAACTCGCAATTGCGTATTATAAAGTCAAAATTGTGAGATATAAACTCACAATTGTATGAAAATGTCAGAATTGTGACTTCTTACTTTTTTTCTTCAAAACTGCAAGTTTATATCTCACAATTCTGAGAAAATAAGTCAGAATTCTGAGTTTATATTTTAACTCGATCTCATGAATTTGCATTTCAGTGGCATTTCAATGGATTTTCTGTTTCTATTTGGCGTACTATTTATACACAGAAATGGACTTTGGCATGCATATGATACGCAATTGGTAGGTTTAGGGGTGTGGGGTAGGTGCATATTATACACTGAAAAAAATTACACTAAATTTAAGGTAAATGGTTGCCAATAATTTATTTTAGCTACATTTAATAAAAAAAATAAAAGTTGAAATGTAGTAAACTACATTTGTTTATTTAAATGTAGCTAAAATAAATTGATTGCAACCACTTACCTTAAAAAAATGTAGTAAATTTCGTAATCATTTTTTTTTTTCAGTGTATGTACGGCAAAATGCGTATTATATGCATGCCAACAAAGTGCGTATCATATGCATGCAAAAACTGCGTATTATATCCACGTCAAACATGTGCATATCGTATGCACGCCAGAGTCAGTTTCTGTGTATAAATAGCACGTAAAATAAAAAAATAAAAAATATTGTGCTATAGATATGCATTTTCATGAGACTGGGCTCTATATTTTGAAATGCTTTAAATTTGCGAGAAAAAAAAAAGGAAAAAAAAAAACTCAGAATTATGAGAAAAAATTTTTTTTTACCCTATGGTGGAAACAAGCTTCCATAGTGTCGTAGTGTATGTGTAGTGTCCCCAGTATATTATTTGTTACCCTCCAGTTTAACACATCTCTGTCTGTTTACGAGTTTGGTGAGGGATTCTGTCAGAGAAAAGCCCTCATGTTTCTTTAGCCCTTCCGCCTCAATATCCAGCAGAAATCTCTCTTAAACTCCCTTTCCTCAAATTACTGTCCCTCTTCTGTTCCCATCTGCCATCTCCTTCCTTTGTCTTGTCATTTCTGTGGAGAGGCTCAGAGAATGGCTATAGCCGCCCACCGGTGGGCTCTCGTAAGATGCAGTTAAAGATTATCGTAGCTCATGCAGACGGCCACTCATCCACCGGCGCACAAATGAGCTCCAATTACCCCATAAAGTCCAGTCCAGCAAACAAACCCAACTGTGACATTTAACGGAGGGAAAAGGCCTTAATTGTGATGTTAATTTAATTTGCTGAGTCCTTTGCTTGCGCTAACGTTGTAATTTGTTTTTGTTTTTTTTTCCCCACTTTTTTCTGTTAGTGATATCTCATCATGTTTTACAATAAATCATTTTCCTTTTTGTTTTGTGTTCTTTTCGTTCATCAGCAGCGCTCAGGTCTGCTGGCCTGAACAGACAGACTTGATGTGAGTTGTTCAGAGTGAGTTTTCTCTCTCCTGTCTGTTGGATGCTTTCGCTTTCATTGGCTCTCTGTAGTGTGAGAAATGGCTGTTTGTGTTTTTTTTTTTTCTAATTTGGCTTTTTTTTCCGTTACTTTCAAACTCTTCACCCCCACCGCCTTAACTGCTTCAAATACATGCTGATGTTGATAAATTCTGTGACTGTCACCGCTCTTTCATCTGTGAATACACATCTGTGCCGCTCTCTCATTTGTGTCTGTGATGTTTGAAGCCTACAGAATGATTTTAATGTTGTTTGGGATGTAGTTGAAACCAATGTTCCGAAATTGGTCATTGTGAATTGTTCAAAATTGTTTGATTGTGAATTCTCCACAGTTTGAAGTTCTGAATTTTTCCTCAAAGAATGAATTGTGCCTGCGCCTGCCGATTCAGTAAGAGAATTATGCAAATCAGTTCATGTACACCTAGATGTGACGGACTACTGCAATCTGGCGTACTTTGCTGGGGCTGTAGAACTGGGATCCAGGCTCTTTAAAATCCGGAAATGCAACTGCACGTTATTAGGGCCTGGTTTAACTGGATTGTGTGTCGTTTGCAAATAATGCATGATTTCACGCTGAAAGTAGTTAAACTACTTAGTAAATTCACCACTTAATTCAAGTCAATTTCATTTTTATAGCACTTTTCACACTACATATTGTTTCAAAGCAGCTTTACAGAAAACCATGATGTTAATGTTTTAACATATTAATATATTGCCTTGTAGTTAAATTTACGAGTTTAGAGCTGGGTGGTAATATAGTTTACAGTTTGTCGTTGAGATATGCTATATAGTATATGTCGCCCTATGCAAGTATTTATGCAAGTTATATATATATATATATATATATATATAAAGAATAGAATTATAACAGAGAACGCTAAAGTTAGAGGGTCAAATAAAAATGGAAGAGATGTGTTTTT